GGGGCACAAACTTGTTCCCCACGATCATCATCATCATCTTTATTTAAAAACACGGTAAATACATCAGGCATTAACAATTTAATATAACGCTACAACTTAAATACGAAACTATGTATACAGATTAATATTCTATAATTTAAAATATTGCTAACTATTAAGGAAAAGTAAACTAAATTAAAGCCTGTTTTACATGAATGCCGTGTCGGAATTAATTAAGAATCGTCGGAAATTAGTCACGATACAAACGCCTGTAAATTTTCGCAATCTTGCGGAGCCATATCTTCGCTCACCTAAGACGTATCACTTTCAAACTTGGCAATTTTAGTAATTTTAAGATTCTCTTCACAGTGGTTTCATCAGATTTTCCCTAACTGGTCGATGTCAAGAGTTGAAAAAACTGCAGAAGGGCTATCATTGTGTAGGATTAAAAAAATGTGTGCAAATTCCACACCCCTGGAGCAAATTTGATAAAACCTTTTCAAGTGTAATTTACAACTGTGACGATTGTGAGGGTAGCAAAGGGGGAGTCATCAGGGGGAACATATTCATTTTTTCTCAGAGTTGTCAGCTGGGCAGGCAAGTAAGCCTGATGGCATACTTGCCCTGTTACAATTTGGGTTGCTTGGACAAACGTGCAGAATTACATAAAGGAATGGTGAAAAAATTGTGCGCAGCTTGAACATTTATGATTAGTATTTTATTGCCATTATAGTCACTAAGAAAGGGTTTTAACTAAACTGTTGAGTACAACCAGGAGCCCAAAACCCGGAGCGTGCAACTGCCATAAATTCGTGCAACGGCGTTTTTACAAGTGAGTTTATTTTTAGATAAGCTTTTCCCGCGAAAAATGACTGTTGTCGCTTGGACCTTTTCACAGTCGGCTATTTCAGAGATGATTTCAATTTCCCTTTGCGTGAATTATGCGTTGTCGCCGATGAAGTAGACGTCCCGGTCTCTTTTACGTTTTGCAGATCTTCCTCTGAACTGCTAGTTTCCGTGTAAATACTGAAATTGTCGCTTGAAGTACTGTCAGAAGAATCCTCTGAAGATTCCTCAAGTGCGTCTGCCATGCTTTTTTTTTCAATGTGAAGGAGTTGTCCTGGTTACGTATTAAACATTTTTTATTGATGACGCACTTGCTTGTGATTGGCTTTTCGAAAGCAATTCGCGGGAAAGGCTTATCTAAAAATAAACCTACTTGTGAAAACGCCGTTGCATAAGCGCAGTATGGGCTCCTGGTACAACAGGCTACAGGCCTAGGCTAAACACAGTTTATTTATGTTTTACAAGTAACCACATCACTGTCTGTCAGTTTACCATGAAGGCAAGACAGTGTGCTTACGTTTTCCCCCGTATAAAGCAGCGGTTCCTGCGTCTCCTTTTTTTCTGTAGAAGACAGTGAAACGTCTTCTAAAAAAACGTCACATCTTGATATATATAAGGCACCACCTTCTGCTTCACCTTGTTTTTTCCGCTGAAGGCAACAAAACGCCTTCTAAAAAACGCCACATTTTGATGAGTGCAGTCATGTTTTCTACGAATGGCCTCTGAATGCAGTATTTTACAAAAAACTGAGCCTGCAATCGTTTCATTGAAAATACTGCACCATCATTATTCTAAAACTTTTAAGTGGATGAGAAGTAATCAGAACGCAGGGAAAATGTATAAAATCATATAAAAATTTTTGAAAAGATTTTGTGGTTGAGCAAAACCTCACTCGTCCGTAGGGCAACTTTTGAAGTTATCCGAATCGTCCATATGAGATTTCAGTCATCTGGGATGACCCCATGACTGGGAATATTGATCCCTAAGTCATGGTCCTGTTTCACGTGCAAATTTTGACAAATTTCATGTGTCATGTGCTTGATAAACCAATTTTTGCAAGTCACGAATTTAGTCTTCAACCTCTCCCATTGTTAATCAAAAGGGAGTTTTAGCATCGACATTTACGATGGCAGCAAAAACGTCCCTTTTAAAATGAATTAGCATTTTTTCTGACCTTGTCACGTTTATTCTAATTCGCTGAAAATGCCTAATCTAGCCAGATTTCCCTGAGGAGTTGAATTCTTGGGGACCGCACTCAAGTTTAGAAAGATAAAGAAAATTTTGTTGTCACCTGTTTACATCCTCCATAAAACATGAAATTAGGCATTTTCACATCGTAGTTGTGCAGCAACGGAAAAGAAATGTACAAAAAGTGTGGTGCATGTGCAAACTTGTTGTTTTGCTTAATAAAACTGTTGCTGTTTTGACATTCTCATTGCCGTCGCCATCGTCATCACTAAAACTCCCTAGCTACAAACTGAAACCAAAGTTATCATGGATCAGACTTCGACAGTTGTCATATTGAAATATGTCAAAGATTACTCTGACGACATGCGGTTTTTAGGTTCTAGTTTTTTAGTAATAGTTAACCAGCTGTTTGTCCCATGAAATGGGACAAATAATTCGCAAGTCCAGCATATCTTACAAGATAAATCACACTTCATATCCATAAATGGTTTCACGGGGTCAGGTTCGTATTATGGAAAATTTCACGCATCACATGCCAAATTTCGGCCTAATCACACATTACGTTTGTATACTCCAAACCAATTTCTACACATGAAAATAACACTTGTAAAAGTTTTAAAAATTGTGACTTACACATATTTATCTTCACTACGTGTTATGTGAAACTGTCCTGTTTCATTTCTTTCTACTTTTTTACAGCTTTTTATCAATAATGAATATGTGGACTCTGTTAGTGGAAAGACATTTGCTACCATAAATCCAGTGACAGAGGAAAAGATCTGTGATGTGGCTGAGGGTGACAAAGTAAGTCTATTAAAAAATTTAGTGTCAAATAACGTAGATTGATTGTCAATTTCATTTGTCCCCTAGCCTGAAGAGATTAACCCATTCGCTCCTGGAGATTTTGCCGAAAAACGCGTTTTGAAGCTAGTCGAGTGGTTTTCTGGTCACTGTCGTGCTATAAAGAGCTAAAACTTACCACAAACTGGTTTACAGGTCAAACACTTCACGGCCTTCTGATCCAGATGCAAAATATCAGCTTGCGAAGTTCGGGCATGCGCAGAAAGCAAAATTTCGACATAGTTTTTGGGTTTAAAAGTGACACAGCAGTCTTGACTTTTACTTTTCGCTTTCTCTCCTCCCTTCTTTTTTTGCTTTTCTTGCCTCATTTTTTTTTTCTCTTGCTGGGCATTTGAAGTAGGCTTGATTTTGGTGGGAAGAGTTTTTAGGAAAGCTTTTAGGATCTTAGGATTAGGCAAAGGGAAAGGTAGGTGGGTAATGGAACAAGATTTTCATGGAGATTTTCAGGTCAATGTCACGTGGTTTTTTGCTTGTTTCTCCGGTGCCCTTGACTGAATTGTGCTCATTCTGGTATGGTTTGAAAGATCTCTTCACTCTGCACAAGTTAGTGAAGAAAGTTGTCCTTGACCGTTAAAACTGATGACGTCACAATGGGTAGAAAGGACCTGGATCCGCACGGGCGGTTACGGGCGGTTCAGGGGCGAATGGGTTAAACAACATCAGAATCAACCTAGGTTAAAAGATTTTAACCTGAAATCAAATTTGATTTGTACCAAGTACATAATGGCATTCAACTCCCTTTAAAGAGGTCGCTTTAGGGACCTCGAGTTAGTGTTGTCATTAGTGAAAGTCTGGGATTTAGCTGCTGTTCGTATTATTGGGGTTTTATCAAAGTGAGATGTCGGCAAGGTGAGAGTTGAGAGTAGTCATAATGAGGAAAAGGATATTAATAATTATTATGATGGCTGGTGGAAAAAGAAAGAAACAACAGTGCTGTAGTTTATGTTTTGGAGCTGCCAGACTGTCTAAATTTGCATTATTTTGTTTACTTTGTGACTGATTACATTGATGGTATTGAGTATTGTACTTGATGAGGGGTGAAAAAGCAAGCAAAAGCATAGTATTTTATAAAATAACTAAGATAGTATGCGTGCTCTGATTAGCTGAGAGGTGTGTTTGCATTAGAGTATGTAAACACAGTTGTGATGTCAAGATGTTTTGCCTTCCATGCACTAATATCTTGCAAGCACTATTTGAAAAAAGTTTTGAGTTTAAAACTTGACAAGTTTACTTTGCTTACCTCATTTCCTCCTTGGCTGAAACTTGAGAAATCTGTAGAAACATACTGTATCAATTTTTTTCGCTTTAACTGACTTTTAGGTGAGAAAAATCTGTATTTTGGAAAGCATCTTTTTTGCAAAACAAAAACTAATTACGCACACAAAACTTTGTGTACAATGCTTTAGGACTGGTCAGAATTTCTCTCCTAATCAGTGCCAAAAGTTGGAAAAGTTATGTTATAAAAACAACAGAAAACTGTTTTACTGCATGTGCCTAGCCTGATATAAACACTCAAGGGGTTGGTAGAATTCTGAATAGTTATGCAAACCCTCGATTTTGTCTTGGGTTTGCATTTAAAATTGTCTCAAATTCTCCCAACACCCTGTCGTATTTATATCAGGCTATGCAACTAGGAAAATGTTTTCCATTGCTTAAATAAATGGGAAAGGAAGTATGACTGATTTATAAAAGGGTCTCAAATAGTGTTATTTAACTAGAAGGGTCTTGTCAATCCTTGCTCTCAGTGGTTTTCATTGGCTAATCCTGTTGAATCCTAGACATGAGGTTTTAACCTGCCTTGCTGTGGGGCATTTTTTTTTATGTTCCAGGCTGATGTTGACAAGGCTGTGCAGGCAGCTGCTTCAGCTTTTAAACTTGGAAGTCCTTGGAGAACAATGGATGCTTCTGAAAGGGGTAGATTGCTGTATAAACTTGCAGACCTGGTAGAGCGAGATTTGGACTATCTAGCTGTAAGTATTAAGTTATACCTAATATGGTAATGCTAAGCACATTCGCAGGCACTGTTGTAAGAGGCAGAAATCGGAGACTTGCTTAACTTTTCATATTACATGTATGAGAAATGTTACTGAACGAAAACATTACATTCTTCTAAATTCAGTCTTTTTTTGATCAAGTCTCTGGAGACACTAGACAGTGGCAAACTGTTTGCAGATTCTGTAGATGATATGGATTTGACTGTGAAGGGCTTCAGATACTATGCTGGATGGGCTGATAAGATATCAGGGAAGACAATATCTGCAGGTCAGTGGAAATTGTTTAAGTAGATAAATTCTATTTTTACTGACATACATCTACATACCCTGTCATGATCATCATTCTTGCTGTTCGCACAGGGCAGCCACCTATTTTTGTCTCGAGAGCATCTGAGATCTCAATTTGTGTGGAAGTTTATTTGGAAGTTTGTTTAGCTGTTTGTTAGCAGTTCCCAGTCCCCACCGTGTAGCACCTTATGAAGCGAAGTGAAATAGCAGCCAAAATTTTATCAGAATTTTGTGAGGGCTAAGAAAGTCTATGACTCTCTCTGAAAACGTTTAAAAGGAAATATGGCGATAAACTTGTTACAGAGTTTGTTTAATAGCACTCTTGCGACCTCTTGGTTATGTGATATCCACAACTGAGATACTTAACAATAATGAATGAGGCTGAGTATCTTTTGAAGAATTACGGAGATCGAGGAGGGTGTTATCCGTTGAGACCATAGGCCGAGGCGGATAACACCCTCAGAGATCTCCATAATTCTTCATGATATGAAAGCCGAATTCATTTGTTTTATTATTCACTCAAAATAATTCCTAGTTTAAAAACATGGCTAACACATGCTTACCTCCATCGATCCATCGATGTTAAGTTCATCTTCGATAGTGCATGTTTAGGGTTGTTCAGCTCCGCAAATATTCTCCAAATAGCAGATGTCACCCTTCAAGTTGTCTTCTTGCTGTTCTTGCCATGTTTTTAGTTATTTTTTTGTCTTGTTCTTACTTTTGAAACGAGTGAAATGTCCGCCATTTTTCACAACCAAAACAACTCAACCTCGTTCCCAAGTCTTCTCAGTTAACGGTGCATTAACCTGCAAGAATGCTGCATTTTTTACGTCATTTCCTTGCTAAACACAAAATCCTTCCAAATTTGGTTATCAGTAACTGGTTATGGTGAATTAAACATGTGCTCTTAGTCAATTAGAATCGGGCAAATATTTTGAATGAATAATAAAATAGATTATTTACTACTGGTCTAAGCCCTTGATCTTTCTACATGGGGCAGCACTTCCCTTCCATTATGGAACCTCTAGTTTATTTCCAGCTCGTGAAAGTATGAATACAGTTGAGTCTTTATGCAAGACCAACTTTCCGATTAGACCACCTCCCATCAATGACCACCTATCCATCATCATCCTCATTGTCATGGTCATGGTCATCAGTCCTTTTGAATCTTGACAAAACATAGGTCCTCCACTAATGCCCACCATCTGCCTCTATTTTGAGCAGTGACTTTTGCCTCCCACCAAACATGCAGTACATATACTGTATCAGTCCTCTCTTCTCAAGTTCTGAAGAATTGCATTGGGTTTTCTTTTTCATTATTTCCCTGCTGGTTCATTTCCAGGGCTGTCTTGGCCACAGGTCCTTCTGGTCTCCTCAGTATGGATCCATCGCCTTTAAGTTGTTCTTTTGCCTCCTCCTCTATCTGGCGTTGCCTGTCTCCAACATTCATTTCAAATTTCTTTGGGTCACCAAATCTGCAGGATGCTCCTTAGGCACTTGTTAACCCATTTGTCCCTGAACTGCCCATGTGAACCCATGTCCTTCTTTGTACAGCTTGTGAGATCATCAGTAAAAACTCAATGACAACGTTGTCATCTAACGTCTGCAGGGGAATCTTTCAAATCATGCAAGGAATTAAAGACAAAAAATCATGTAACACAAAAATCAAATTATCAAACTCAAAAATCAAACTCCTGAACTGTCTGCCTTATATTTTGCAGATGGTCCATACTTTGTGTACACAAGACATGAGCCTGTGGGTGTTGTAGGAGCTATCACTGCTTGGAACTTCCCTCTTAACATAGCTGGCGTGAAGCTTGCTCCAGCTCTGGCTTGTGGCAATGTTGTCATACTTAAACCAGCAGAGCAAACTCCACTAACAGCCCTCTACATTGGGTCTCTTTTCAAAGAGGTAATTTGATATTGTGCTGCTCTTAACTTAAAAATAATAATTAAGTAGTAATAAAAATGCCAAGTCAAATCTCACGTTGACACCAAATAACCTAGATAATACTATGCTCTAGTCCTTCTATTGAGCGCTCTGCCGATAGGCGTGCATATGTATCAACTGGTATAAAAATAATAATTAAATTATTGATCATTGCAAACAATATATATTTTTAATTCTTGAATGGACCAAAAAAAAATAGAAAATAACCCATGGGATTGCCTAGATATGGAATTTCCCTTCAAGTGTTTCATGGATGACATGCAGTCAAACCTGTAATAAGTGAACCTGTATTAATTAGATGGACACCCTCTACTAAGTGGTCACTTACCAAAGCCCTGGAGAACATTTCCCGTAATCACAGTACATTTACTGACTTGTATGTTAAGTGGTCACCTCTATTAAGGGGTTGCAGTTACCTTTTCTAAGGTCACAACAAGTTATTTTTTATTGTCTTCACCTCTATTAACGTTCACTTTGTTAAGATCCATACCACTTTACAACAGATACACAAGACAGTTTAAGGTTTCATTTCTTTGTGAAAGAAAAATATTGTTTTGTTATGCAAGAAAAGGGTCACAAATCAAACCAACATGGAAAGTGGACGTTTACAAAGTCCACTTACCATGTCCACTTAGTCTTGAGCTCTTTAAGAATTTCAATAATAATGTTGCAAAGTATCTAGAGGACTTTTCTGGTGTTACACAGGCAGTATAGTGCGGGTAGTGATGCTAAGCAGTTTAAAGTACATATTATATATAGTTGAACCTCGATTATCTGAACTCGTTGGGACTTGAGTTAATAGTCTGGATAACCGAGAGTTAATCATTGCGACAAAAATGTAATCATAGGGAATAAAGACAACAAAATTTAAATGTAAATTAGCTCTTACTTGAATTTATGTATGGACTGTAAGTATATAATATATTTTCAGTTCTTCGCTCATCCCGACGCTGTCGGTGAATTTCAGGATCTTCTCTTAGTTTTTGCGTATATGTGAGGTCTGGTACTTGCTGATTTTAAACTTGAGTACTAAATTTGTTCCTCTTTCGCCTTTCTCCAAACCTGAAATAATCATTTGCTTATCCTTTATCGAGAGAACGGACTGCTTTCATTGCATAGACATTGCTGTGATTTGAGTGTTTGATCGATTGGTCTTGTTGTTACATAAGCAACCTAACAATTAAGCCAATCAGATTTCAGCTGAATGCATCAGAATAATTGTTGATCTCATGCGCTTGCGCTTTTTCAAAGCGAAACTGATTAAAACAGCGTTTTAAACACACGTTTGGAAGAATTAATAAACTTTTAATTATTTTTTCAGTTTTTCAAGATCATATCTTATTAACGTTCATGAATAAAACAGGACCTGGGAAACAAGTCTGGATAACTGAAGTTCGATCATAGTGAAAAGTGGAACTACAATATATTGTATTGTGTCACTTAAATAATTTTCTGTATATTATTGTAGGCTGGCTTTCCACCTGGTGTGGTGAATATCATCCCTGGTTATGGTCCCACTGCAGGTGCTGCCATATCTGAACACATGGACATCAACAAAGTGTCATTCACTGGCTCAACAGAGGTGCTTCTTAGTATTTTATTTAAAAAACTGACTGGATTAAACTATAAAAATTAGCATTAAAAAACACTTTGACTGCCTAATGTTCATTTTTTTCTAACTCCTAAAAAAACACCTTCATTTCAAACGTACGGACAGGAGGTGGGGAGTGGGTGGGTTTTTAGGGTGTTTAGCATAATGAGGAGGGAAATGCACCTTGCTCCCAAAAGATTTACACACTGGCCTCCACCCCCTGGGTACTTTTAAAAGTAATTGCTGAATTGTGACAATCTTGTGGGAATATAGGGGGCTATGAACAGTCCAATGCTGATTTCAATAATTTTCTTGCGTTGCTGCCATATGTGGTTGCGTTTTTGTTTCAGGTTCTCTCCCTTGCTTTGAGAGGTGTTTTTCGGGTTTTTGGGTTTTCCCCTCTCCTTACAAACCAACACTTCCAAATTCCAATCAATCTTGAAGGAATGGACACATTTCAGTGAGTTCTAAAGAACTCCTAAGTGCTCCATGGGAAAACAAATTACAGATTTGCAATAACAATTGTTCATTGTTTGTAACTATTTAAGGTTGGTAGATTAATACAAGCTGCTTCTGCGAAATCCAATCTAAAGCGTGTGACACTGGAGCTGGGAGGAAAGAGCCCTAACATAGTGTTTGCTGACAGTGATTTGGACTATGCAGTGGAGTATTCCCATGCCGCTGTGTTTTTCAATCAAGGACAGTGCTGCAGTGCAGGCACCCGTACATTTGTACAGGACACCATTTATGATGAGTTTGTCAAGAGGAGTGTGCTCAGAGCTCAGAAAAGGACAGTCGGTGATCCATTTAATGAAGAAATTGAGCAAGGGCCTCAGGTAAAAAAAATTTTTCAACAAATGATAAATCATCAACTCTTTATTTAATTTGCATTTTCAACCTGAAAAATAAAAAATCTTGATTGGCACTGGAAACCTGAACTTTTTCATTACCTATTAATGGTTAGCCTGCGTAGCTGGCGGTATTTTGTAGTAGTCGAGTGAGATTTGGCGGCGGAGCCGTTGTAATGTATTCGAGTGAGATTTGATGGCAGAGCCGTCACGAGCGGCGAAGCCGCGAGAAATACCGCCTGCCAGAGAACCATGATTTTTCGAATGCCGCCCACTTTTGTCACCTTAGCTGATCCCAATTAAATCAGCAATTTGAAACTTCCGATTATTTTCACGCGAGACAGTTTAGAAATAAGCGTTGACAGGCTTAACACGACTCCTAAGCTCGTGATAATGTGAAACATGACCTTGTGAGTTTGGTTGAACCGAGGTTTTTTTATTTTCTCAGCTCTCGCGCGAAGGTTACTAGCATTACACAGTGCATGTATCATTCTAAACTTTGACTGAGTAAATCTTTTTTTGCCACACTAGTCTTAACATTATAAGGTCATGAAGCTGGTTTGTTACATGCATACTGAGTAACCATTTCCTGTGGTTTATTCTTCTGTAGGTGTTCCTGATAGGATTTGATCTCAGATGCAGTTGTAAAGTGTTCTAATTTTCTTTGACCTTTGTTTCTTACGGCTAAATAAAGACAATTCCAGCGCTGTGAAGTTTAAAGACGCCATTTCGGCTATTTGGTCATCAATTATGCTGTTTTAAAGGGGAAACCACAATCACTTACGTTTTCCAGTTTGCCATCTGCTCTCTTAATTGGGAAATATATACAAAGGATCATCTAACATGATTGACATATGTATGGTCCTCGACCAATCCGTTTCCCCGCACACTGGTGTGCGGACTATTCAAAATACCGGGGTTTTCTTGCAGGCGGTATTTCAACCGCCTCGTCCCTACTCCCTTTTTTTGGAACACGGCTCCGTCACCAAAACTTTAATCTCGCACCCACACAATACCGCCAGCTACGCAGGCTAATTAATGGTTTAACTGTCTATTCCAATATTTCTTGCAAAAAAGAAAAAAACTGAAGAGCCAATAACATTCAATTTGAAAAAGTAGCTAATCATTTTCATTAGTTTTATAAAAGAAAAAACTAGTCAGTTTAGTCCTGTAGTGAAGCTGCATGTGCATACAGCTTCGCATTTTTTTCCTGGCAGTGTTCAACTAATACATACTTTACTGTGTCACTCAAATTAAAATTTGTCTTTGTCCTTCAGGTGGATAAAGAACAGTTTGATAAAATTCTGGAGTTGATTGAAAGTGGCAAGAAAGAAGGTGCAAAGCTGGAATGTGGTGGTGGTCGTCATGGAGACAAGGGATATTTCATACAACCCACTGTTTTCTCAGATGTCAAAGATGACATGAGGATTGCTAAGGAAGAGGTACTTACCTCCTTGATTCTGTCTGAAGTCAATGTACTGCCAGCTAAATTCTAACCACAGGGTTCTTGACATTAAGTTTTCAAGTAGAAAAAACTAGGATGTAAAATCAGGTGGCTTGGCAATCAAGTGCTGTAGGCAATTTCAGGCTTTCACTCCCTCACTTTACTCATAATTTTTTCCCTCAAAAACAGATGGCTCAGACCTCAAGAAGTAGCCAGTTTTTTTTAGCCGGTTGATGGCACTTAAGGTATTCAAATCTGCTCTAAACCCTTCCATTTGAAAAGTTTATTTCTCAAATAATAAAGATGCGACAAGATTTTATTCAGTGGCAGCTAGTTTTTGCACCAGGTTACCAGTAAGCCCTTGCGATGTTTTAGTGTGGATTAAAATTTCTTATTTTACTCCATGATGCCCATTGAGTTTAATTCTTATCACTAAAATATGCGGTGGTCTTCTTATCCTCTTATTTCAGGATCTGGAAGATCATTATAGGTTTTCACTTACTTGAAGAATGAATAATGGATCTTCCACTGGTTACCTTACATTAAAAATATTATTGTTAGAATCAGATAGTGATCAGACACAGTTCTTGTTCTTTCTTGGTTTCAGATTTTTGGCCCAGTACAGCAGATAATAAAATTCGGTGACATAAGTGAGGTTATTGACAGGGCAAATAACACAACTTATGGACTGGCAGCTGGAGTATTTACCAAGGATGTAGACAAAGCAACAACCATTTCCCACAGTTTGCGTGCTGGGACAGTGTGGTAACAAGCTACTTTAATCTCTTTTACCAATCAATTTAATGATGTTCATGATCTAAACTCTGCACAATGTTCAGCATTTTGGACTTTTTTATAAGATGTAGTAAAAAAGTCTTGTATCTATTCATGGTAAAAAAGGTGTTCTCTGCTTGAGTATTAAAAACAGTAAGCTTTTAGCTTCCTAGCGTGTCTTAAGTCTTAAAGAAATGCAAAAATACATGATAATAAATAAATATATACAAAGAAAATGTATGAAAAAATTCAAAGTGTATTAAAAATATGATAAATATGTATACCAACAAAATTTTAAGAATGGAGCATTTTAGCTACCATCTTAGGGTTAATACCTCATTCATAAATTAATGCTTGCAGTGTGCCAAGATTCCATAAGATTCTTTGAACTGCCGATTTTCCTTTGTCCATTAGACTGGCATTATCGATGCCAGTTTAGCAGTAATTACTAGACCATTCTAACTTTAAATTGTGTAGATGTGTTATCTTCTATGTAAACAGTTTGCTTGATGTGGAAGTTATATGTTGTTAGTATAAAAATGATGCAGATATTATAATACTGTTGGTTGCATCAAAGCGTGTACATGCGAGGAAAAATACATGTTCTACTTGGGCGCAAACGTGACATGTTTTGGTGCCAAACACTTGAAGTTTGGATAAGGCGGCTGTTGTTGACTTGATTTGTTTTCACCCAACAAAATACTCTTTGCCAGAATTTTTAGGCGTTAAGAATAATATTTTTGTTGAGACAAGTGTGCTGGTTCTGATCAAGAAATATGCCTGAAAGTTGAGGCAAGTGAAATATGAGCAGAACGCGCTGATCGAAAACATATAAACAACCTACCTTTGGTGTGACAGTTTGCTTTAACGGCAGTCAAATTTCATGTTTTTTTGTCTCAGTACATGCTTAGATGCAACCGACAGTAATTTAATCAAATTTTGTAAGTATCCTTTACTCTTGTGCCTCAAGTAATGCAAATTTGATTAATATTTAATGATTATTAATGATTATTATTTTTATTCTAGGGTCAATTGCTATGATGCTGGAGCTCCTCAGGCACCATTTGGAGGTTTTAAAATGTCTGGGCAAGGAAGAGAATGGTAAGTCTTTTATAAGAACACCTGATTATTACAGTATTATGGAAAGTTTTAAGTCATTGTTACATATTGCCCAGTTGGTTAGTCGAGAGGAAGCAGGTAATACACTGACTCTTGGCAACTCAACTTTTTTCATACATTTACTAGTATTTACTAATATTTGTTATTGAAGTATTGTAGTACACTCAAACCTCGTTGATGCAGACACAGAGGAGGCCATAGAAGGTCCATTTAAATAATAAATGCACCTTTTATTTAAACAAAATACTAAGGAGGACATTAGTATCTTCAAACTACTCATCTCAACAAACCCAATGATTCAGTGAATTGGTGTCTCACCTCCCCAATAATTTCTATTTTGTAGGGGTGAATGTGGCTTATTACCTTTCCTGGAAGTAAAAACGGTAAGTGATTCTAAATCATCTGTGCTGAATAGTTATTGGTTGACAATGCATTTGTTTTTTATTGCCTTAGTAGGGGGCTTGAGAGGGGGGGGGGGGGGTTTTTTTCCACTCGGACTTCTGATTTTCAAACATAGATTTTTTTCGGAGCGCTTTTCTTCCTGTTTTTTCAAAATCCCCCTTCAAAAAATTAGATTTAGTGGCCTTCAAGTTTTAACATTTTTTTTAAGAAATAGAAAAATTTCAAAAACCTTTTTCGCGTGTGTGTGGACAGATTATATGTGTTTTTGTTTTAATTATTGTTATTGTGAATAAATTATGATTATTTATTAGTATGTGTATTTAATAGTGTTGTTGTTGTATTCGTTTATATGGTGTATTTCCTTTGTTCGTGGGAGTGTGGGGTGGGGTTGGGGGGGGTGTTCTTGCACTCTGACTACTGAGTACCAGACAGTACTTATTTTCAGAGCAGCTATGCTTCAGTTTTTCTCAAATCCCCTCTTAGAAAATCAGACCTAGGTGCCCTCAAGTTTTGACACCTTTCTTCAAGAAACAGAACATCTCAAAAACCTTATTGCTTTGGGGGTGGCGCTCATCATACCATCAGCCAAGGAAAAGAAAAAGTAGCCAGAAGCCATTTACAGCTGAAGTAGCTGTGGGAGCTCCTGCTGCGATTTTAGTTTAAACCTTTGACGACTGCTTTGGCTGTTTTCATTCCATATTGAATGATTATTTTCCTTCATAGACACATTTAGCTTTTAGTTTAAGCTAATAAGTTGGTGGGAAGCATCATCATCTGACCAATCCTATAATAAAGTGACAAAAGGTTGGGGAAAAATCCACAGCTAATTTCACTGTTTACCTACTACTCTTTGAAGATTAAATTTTTTCCTTTCCTAAAAAGTTAGCCAGCCACTCCATACAAAAGAAAGACTATAAAATGAGCAACAAAACTGCTTATAAAGATGGAACGAAAAGCAAAAAAGAGAGCTAGAGAGAAAGATCGAAACAGATTCGCAAAAAAATACAAGTCCATGCAAATTTCGGCGTGTGCAATGAAAAAAAAGCTGCTTAATTACATCCAATTAGCTGGAAAATATGCCCTTTTTGTTACAAAACTCATTTTTCGCCAATCTTATGCTAATTAGCCAAAAACCAGTCCAAAGAAGAGAAATTGGTGAAAAATGCTTTGTTTTCGCTACTTGTGCAGGTAAGAAGAGTTTCCTGATTGCTTCTTTGCAGTGGCTTTCAGCTCTTTACATTCTAAAGAGAAGGCTTTTGAAATCTCTAAGAATTTGAAGAAGTAAATGGGTTGTTTGCCTTCCTGATATAACATTTAGACAGACAGTTGAAGTATTCCCAAAGCACAGTTTAATTCCGTAAAAATATGAAAGATAGCTGCCAATTAAAGTCCATTCGGCTACAGTAGTGACATTTATTCATATCAAAAAGGCTGAGGCTTTGCTAATTTTGAAGCATCTTTGATTTTTTTTTTGCAGGTTACAACAAAAGTTCCATCAAAGAACTCATAAAAATGGGTCAAATTACCAATCAGAAGCCACAGTGAACAGGCCAGATCATTACAGCAACATACAATATCTACAATGACAATGTCACACTTGAGAAATATGAAAACATGGACATAAAGTGAATAAGAATTATCATAAATTATTGTGATAATGAATGCATTAGTTTTCTTTGATTTTTGAAGGTGATTTCTTGATAGAAGCAATGTACAGATCAATTTAATATTAATTCATAGAAAAATATTTTAACAAACTATTCAAATATTAATATGCCGGTATTTTAATGTTTCAAAAACATTAAAGCAAACACTAAATGGAAATATTTAGATATTTCCAAAAAAAAATGAAGCAATTACTGGATGATTATTGTATACTCTACTACTGTAACAAAATGTTTTCAGCAATTTAGCCCAACTTGCTTCTGTGCCTCTTTAGCAAGTGAGCTCTCTTTTCGTGCTCTGAAGCTTAAGAAGTGCGTGACTCAGCTGTTACTGAAGTTGTTTGCAGCTCGAGAACCTGGAGGGAGGTTCTGCCATGTATTAGTGCCGTTTTTGGTGTCGTCACGCAACGCTCCTCCCCGCTGCGTGACGACACTAAAAACGGATGTGTGGCAGACTAGCCATGTATCGGAGAGACTGGGCCTAGGGGAGGGTATCATTTTCTTGGAAAATGAGACAAAGCTTAGCCTGTATACAACTGGTGGAGGGAAGGGGGAGGCTGAACACAGGCTAACAAACTGTTAAAGGTCTGGTATAGGCTAAGCATGCAGCATTCCGAATACCCAGCAGCACACCCTCTCCCAAAAAATACTATGGTACCCTTCCCCTCGGGGGGGGGGGAGGGGGGTCTCAGGAGATGGGATGCCAGAGAGGTGTGACACAAAAATACGTTACAAACAAAATTAAACAAAAAGACAAACAATAACAGCAACAGAAAAAAAAAACAAATTTTAACACAAATTTATTACACATTGGAGTCTGCCGTATGAGGTTCCTCGGTTTTAGGCCACCTGTCGACGCTTGTTCCATTCACTATCGTTTCACCACTGATTCAAGTGCGGTTACGCGACAATCGGTAACAAGAATACGTGACACATCTCACAGTGTCAGATCACACGAATAGTGGGTCTTCGAGAGTGAGGCCTGCAAGTAGGGTTTCTTCACTCTCTGGGTTTTGTAACTGTTCTTCATCATGACTTTCCAGCAACAGTTGAATTTCTTTTGTATTAACAGCAACAATAAACCTCGCGTTTCTTCTTCTGTCGTTCAATAATCACTCGCTCGATCCATCATGAATCACAGTTTAAAATTCTTGTTTTTGTGTTTTCTTTTTCTCTTTTTGATGAGTGGACTGATGAAGTTCTCTTCTAATCTAAACACAGTAGAATCCTGTAAAATAAGGGAAAGATTTAACATGCTTGATGGGGTCAGAGTAATTGAGTGGCGTGCGCCATAAATTAAGCTTATAACCGCGCTTATTTGCTTCCAATGCATCATTTCCTCAATATGCTTTCTGAGTCCTTTCTTAACGCTGGACCGAGAAGTTTCTGCAAAATAACGTAGTTGAGAATGTTCAAGTTTTGTTCGTTTCAAATCGCTGATGTGGAGAAGGTTAAAAAATTTTCAGCTTATTCCTCCCAAAGTTTAAAATATTTTAATTTCATATGGCTGAGTATCAGATGGTAGCGTGGCCGAGTGGTCTAAGGCGCTGGTTTAAGGCACCAGTCTCTTCGGGGGCGTGGGTTCGAATCCCACCGCTGCCACTGAATTTTTCTTTTTTGTTACTTTTAATGTTGCAGTAGGGCTTTATATTTTAAAGCTCTCCCACTTTTTCTTTCCTTGCTTTTTTATTAGCTTGTCCACCGACGCGCTTCTCTCCCTCTTTTTTTCTAAGATGGCGGGGGGGTGGGGGTGGGGGGGGGGGGAAGGGGGGTGCGTTCGAGATTAAAGGGGCATATTACAAGGTTGCCCCCCTGAAAGATTTGAAAATTTTGATTTTCTAAAATGCCAAGAAATACAAATCTGAAAATGTTTAGGATGGAATAACCATACCCAGGCTTCTAAATGTTAATGTAAACAGCTCCGGGGGTAAAATTGTATCCCCCCTGTGTTCTTTTTTTTTTTTTTTTTTTTTTTTTTTTTGTTTGTGGTTTGTTTTTTTTTTTCACCTCCCTCCCTTTTTTTTTTTTTTTTTTTTTTTGTTGGTTCGCCCCCGCGGCTCTTCTCTCCCTTGTTTTTTTGGGGGGGGGGGGGGGGGGGGGGGGGGGGGGGGGGGGAAGAGGGGTGCGTTCGAGATTAAAGAGGCATATTACAAGGTTGCTCCCCTGAAAGATTTTGAAAGTTTGATGTTCTGAAATGGCAAGAAATACCAATCTTAAAATGTTTAGGATGGAATAACCATATCCAGGCTTCTAAATGTCAATGTAAACAGCTCCGGGGGTAAAATAGCTTCTTTCTCCTTCTACGAGCTGCGCCCTGTTGTCGTGTCTCGGTCCCTTGAATAATTGTTAAATTTCCCAAAGCAGTTTTCTGAATAAGAACGAAAGAGCTGTGATCCCAAATCTGAACGTCTCACAAATTATGTCTACTGCGCCTTCAGGCTTAAACTTCCCCTCTCGGGCAAGTATAAGACCCCACAAATCCCCACCCCTTCCAGTGACAAGTGCATAATCGGCTCCTGACAGTCAGTGGACATTCCAAAAAATTGTTCCTGCAAAATACAAAAAATCGTCGATCCGTAAAAGTCCTGCAAAAATTTCGAGCCCCGAATGGCAATCTCGTACCTCGACGGTCTTCGTCCCTTCCTCGGGGCCAGAGCTATACCGAGAGTGAATATTTTTAACGGCTCCCAATGGAAAAATGTTCTTTTTAAATGAATTCCTTTCATTTTCGTAGTTTTTTTTTGGAACGGTAGGTTTTTCCCCATACAAATCCTTATATTTTTAATCTTACCCGGGGATGCCAATGCTCATGATCATGGTTTTTTACCTGTCGGAAAGTAAATGGAACACGGCTTTTTGGAAACGGAAAATTGCTGCGAGCAACGGAACATCTGAAAAGGTAGTCCTGTTTTTCCGGATGGAATATTCCAAACAGTTTCAGGCCTTCGCGGTCGTTTTCCTGTATTAAAATGGAACTGATTTGTACAAATGGTAAACGCGATTCCGGGGCGAAAGGAGTGGCCATCTTCAAGACAATGATTTTCTCACGGTCAAACATTAGCTAGTGCACTGGCCTTTGGCATTTTGACATCTCACGAAATTATGTTTTGTACTTTGTTTCTTTGACTCAAAGAAGACACTTCCTCGTTGACAATTGTTACCTCCAAAAAAATAAGCTTCGGTAATATTATTCTTCAAAGGCCATTGCGGCCTCTTTGAGGGGAAGTAAATTTACATTTCAATAGCGGCTGGGCCTATATCTAGAGAGAAATTTGTGTCAGAAATTTTTCAGAGTATCGAAGTTAATATTTCGTACATTGACTTCAAACAGAACAGCAAATTAATGATCTGCAGTAAAAGTGGAATACCATACATGTCACAAATAACAGCACAAAAGCCAACCGAAAATAGTGTCAGCAACACCCAGAAAAAAAAACAATCCATATATACTAGTAACTAGCAGTTTATAGTCCAAAGACATCTACCTTGGCGTTCTCTGTTTCAGTCTAATTTGAGCGGTTTTTATTCGGAGGAGCTTTTTTGAATTTAAGGGAGATTAGCACAGTTTGGCTTAGCGATAAAAATTTATCCCCTGATAAGAGTTTACTTTAGACTGACACTTTGGTTTAAAGAGGCTGACTCTCTGAATAAAGCACTGCATATTTCTATACGAGAAATTAGCTTAATCCAAGAAAGGAAAATGGGACAGAAACAGGGAAAGCCTTGCCTTCACCAAAGTGTTTTTTAGACCAATTAAACGCTTGAAATTAATCGGAAGTTGGTGTTGACCCAAAAAGAGGGTTGCTTTGAGGCAGTTGACTTGATGACATCTCAAACAATCGATAAAAACGTACCGACGTCTCAGGAATTTGACTTTCGTTTAATTACAACTTCTAAAAATAACTTCAGAAAAATTCAAATATCCCGGGAAACGCCCTAAGACTCCCTTTCTGTCCATTATCATTCTCTCCGGCTTGCTTATTAGTCCTCGGCAAGAGGGGATAAAGGGGACAGAGAAGGCATCCCCCATACACACGTTATGAGTTATTTTTAGAATCGGGATAAAGTTACCTCGCGCGCTGCGTGGAGGTTTCGCATGACTAAACGCCGTGCAAAACATGTCGGGCGAAAGGCAATGAAAGCGTAAAGAGATAGTGAGCATTCCTGAATATTGAAGCGCAATGAGTCGGCGCTCACCTGGGAAAAGGGAATCGCTAGACTCTTTGACAACCCGTGAAATCAGTTTAACTCGAAGTTTTCGTAACCTTAGCGCTTTACTAAAATGAGAAATTTCGCCGGTCTATTGAAACCGGTCGTTTGTACAAAGCAAGTAGGACGCCAAGTGTTATTTTTGTTGAATAATAAAAGACTAATAAAAGAATAAATATCAAACTAGAAATTGGTCTCTTCAAACTGTAAATTATAGATGTGTTAAGGATTTCCCTGCTGTACTGTTAGCTCTTACAGGAGGGGAAGGACGATTCTTTTTTAATTTCCGTTTCGCTGACACAGCTTTAGCAGAAATCTCTCTGTAGTCGTTTTCGTCGACAAAACAAATAGCAATATCGTTCTCCGCGTCTTCCGCCATTTTGTTCTGCGTCAATTCGTGAAGGACGCGTGGTTCTGAGGGTGGGTCATCCACGCGGAACACATTCGCGCTATGTCATTGGCTGTTGTCTAATCTCCCTTGGGATCTGTGGTCTCAAAAATAACTCGAGACGAATTACCTATGGAACAGGGTGTATATGGTGGATGCCTTCTCTGTCCCCTTTATCCTCTCTTGTCCTCGGTAGAGTTTAAGTTAATCATTCACGCAACTGAAGGACTTTAGGGCATGCTAACATAGCTACTTGGTGTAGGGCAAAGGAGCAAATAAAAGAAAACAGATCTTAGAACAAGAAGGGAGTTGAAAGGATGTACTTGTTTCTACAAAGCAACCTTCGAAGTTGCGGTAAAGAACTCCTGCTTATGATAGGTATTTAAGGCCCGGTTCAGACGCCGATCTTTTCATGAGCCGAGCCTAATACATTGAATGAACAGTTTGGCGTCTGAATCAATTAGCAACGCCTATTTCAATTTAGAACGGCGCAGCAGTTCTTCACGCCTAGCCCGGCCGGGAATTTAGACTGTGGAACGACTTTGGAACGGCTTTGATTCAGACGCTGAACTTTTCATGTACCGAACCTAATGCATAAATTATAACGTATTTTGCAAGCAGTTTGACCAAAATAAGCATTTTCCCCTTTTGTTGGGCCGGAATTAAGATCGGCGTGTGAATCAATTCAGGCGGTCTAAATAGTTTGGGTCGGCCTTAATTCGAATTAGGTTCGGCTCATGAAAACTTCCGCGTCTGAACCGGGCCTAACGTGCACAAAGCAACAAGTGTACACCTCGACAGCTAGAATTCCATTACTGTATTAGGAATTTATTTCTGTACAACTGCATTCATCGAATTCCAAGACACTCTTAGTGGCTAGTTCTTTGGGCACTACATAAAGCTTACATCAGTTAAACTATTTAAGTGCCGTTTTTTTTTGCGTCTAACAGATCAATTTTTATGACCCTTTTTGTCATACCGATATAGAGAAAATATCGAAATACGCGATGAAGTAACAAGAATAAAACCTACCATAAAAAATTCTGACGCAGGATTAAGCTTAATACTTATCAGTAATATTGCGCTTCAGTTTTAACATTGAAAGGAGTCGGCAGCAATGTTTATCACTGACACTTTTTATAACGCAAATTGCCACTGACGAAGATTTGCTCGAGGTGTTTTGAGACTACAGTGAAACCAGGAGGAGTCTGGGTCGATGTTGTGTCGAATTGCACAATGGGATTGGGGACACGTTGCTTACGCAACTGGGCTAGAATTCGTCCCCCAAAACAGTCCCATAATGCACTTCAACACAACACCGACCCAGTCTCAACCTCCAAGCCTCTGTTTCAAAGCGAGGCTAAGTGCGAAGCTATTGATTCTCATGCAAATAAATCACATTTTCACAAGACGGGTTTTGCACTTGGCCTCTTTTTTAAAGTGAGAGCTTTTGGAACTAAGAAAAGGTCTATTACAGTAAAATATGTAACAGGACCTAGTTATCGAAATAATGCACCGCGATCCCACCGCATTCCGGCACTATAGACGATGGTTCAACTGCAGATTAAACAAAAGTGACACAGAAAAACTTGTCCTGTTTCACCCTTTCTCCAAACAGTGTTCCAAATCAAAACTGAAGAAAAAGACCAATTTTCTTGAAGACACGTAGAAACACGACAAGTACCATGTGTAAGTACTAGAGAAGCGGTTTCATTTGAATGGTCAGGCACAGGATTTCGTCCATAGTCTCAAAACGTAGAAGTGGATTCAAAATGTTGCATAACTGACTGCGAGACTGAGCGCCTTATCAGAAGCGCGACCAATTTCTTGGTGCCGGCTGTAGTAGCAAATCAAATCAAACTGAGTCTGTATAACGTTTAAATGGAATACCTCCTATCTTACTCTAACGGTCTGATATAATTATTTATCAAAGTTTACAAGTTCAGCTTGTCAGACTAACCAGCTGACATGGTGTCATATTTTCCCTTTGAAGTGACGTCATGACATAAGCGACATACATCTGCTGTAACTTGGTTGAATCTCTTTTCTTTTTCTCTCTGTTGATAATAATTCCATTATATTATGACATCATTGCTGGGTTGAGGTAATAAACTTAAAATGGATTCTCTTTCAAGTCCATTTTCCCTAAAGTGTTCTCTATGATATGCGCTGGTAATGTGGCAGCGCGTGTCATAGGAGGTGCTAGGGGTCGTCTGGGCTGCTGGCCTTGTGAATGATTATACCCTAGAAAGCAAAAATAAAAAGACGACTTACATTAGACAACCATAGCCACTGAATAATGATTCAAAAACCTGAGAAAAATAATGTCATTGCAGTGTTGTTAATCATTTAAGAACTTTAGGAAGTGCAAGGAAGAAAGAGTAGATATTAGTACAAAGACGAACGGGTAACGGACGACGAGCATGGGGAATGGGAAAACAAAAATTGGGAACAAAACAGAGAAAGATCAAAGAATTTACCAATGGGGCTAAGGTTTGAGCCAAGATTAGTTCACATTTTTCTTTTCCCGTTTCCTGTGCTCGTTCTCCGATGCTCGTTTTAAGGTCAACCACCAGTAGGGGACCCTGAAAATATGCGCACAGACGCTTACAAGAGTCGAACAACAGTGTGTCCCCCTACCACCACCGGGAATCAGTCTGACATATGATCTACTTATACAGTAGAAGAGAATAAATTGAATCTCAGTTGTTTAGTACACATAGTGAACATTGGGTATCAGGAATAACAAAAAAGTTATTGTCGTTGTGCTGTTGTGCGGTATCACTACTGTTCAATTGGCACCGTTTGGATATCGGATCCTTTCCAAGTTATGGATGTAAATGTACACAAGCTTATTTACCTTGTGGTGGTATATTCTGGTATGGAACAGAAGCGGGGCGATGTGCGCCTCTACCTCCTGAAGGAAGATTTTCATAACCAAGATGATTTTGTCGCTGAGCTCTTGGCGGTAACTGAGGTGGTGGTTCACTAAGAGATCTTTTTTCCTTTCCGGGAAGATTAACATAGCCGTCAGTAGCAGATCCTCTCGGTGGCAAGGGTACTGCGGGTTTTTCAGGGAGATTTTCGTACCCGTGCGGGGTTTTGGCCGGTTTTCTTGGAGGCAAACTAGGCTTGGGCGCCTCTACAAAGGAATCTCTTGTTTCTAAAGCGAAACACAATAACTGATGTTAGATTTAAAGTCAACCATCCCTGAGATGGACTCCAATGGTACTAGCACCGGGTGAGTCCGTCTTAGGGAGGTGTGAGTTCTACTGATTTATTTTTAGGAAGGCGGGGTCTATCAATTAAATGTCAACCTTAAACATCAAAATGTTACGTTTGTTACTGGTTATGAAATTCGGCAAGAATCAAAGATGAAAACAATGTTGATGTTACGGTTCATGTTGAAAACTTTTTGACCAAGCCCTCCGGGGCACTTTTTCTCTAGACCACGAGTGGTCCCTCACTTTCCTCAGGGATAAAAAGCGAGCGAAATACACGAACGCGTGAAAACTGCCACCCGCGCGTCACCTTCTTAGAGAGTGGGGATTTTCACGCGCGTTAGCATATCGCTCGCTTATAAACTACAGTGCTATCTTTTCTAATGAAAACAAAGTACAATGAAGCTTTCCGGGGTGTCTATTTTTTTCGAATACGCGAAAAAACTGTAAGGTAAATCTCGTACTCGTAGTCGTTCTTGTCCTCGAATCTAAGGTCTCTATTTACTACAGACAGAAGACAAGTTCACTAACCACGTGATTCCATAGTTTCGTAAGAGTCTGGCTCACGGAGAACTGGACTTCTGTTGCCTACTGTGAATGAAAAAAAAGCTGTTACTGCACTCAAAGAGAATGAGACAAAAAAAAAACAATGAAAAAACGAACAGGAGGAAGAAATTAAATTTCACATGAGTACGAGTTTACAATCAAAGTTTCGGACTTGAAAAGTGTCAGAGTCATTACAGCAGTTTCAACTCTGACTTTCCCTCTACAAACAACCTTTCATTGACTTGCTCTTAAGGCGTCTTCCGGAATAAGCGGAATTAACTTTAGAAATCACCTGTTTTTGCAATCAAGTGCACTTCAATATCTAGAAATCTGCTTAAAATAAAATAAATAAAATAGAGACAATGTATAGAAGGTCACGTTGAACTCGCTCAACTTTTATGTTTACGCGTGGCCTCTCACATATTGGCTCTATTTTATTTACGCAAGTAAATTTTACATGCATTCACACGGAAAAATGAGGCGACAGTGGAAATCAACCCTAAGGGTGGTCTTGGTTCGTAGTCATGTGACAGGGCCCAAAGGAATTCTTGTCAACCAGCATGGCAGCAGTGAAACTAACGGTAAACCAATTTCACGCATCACGCTGCTATGCCCAATCACGGCTCACGCGGCTAATTTGGGCCCGATCACCCATCACGCTGATAATTTGGGTCCAATCACGCGTCACGGAAAACCCCTTTGCCACCCTGTGGATTGAGTTTGGGTCATGAGGTCTGATCTGGGTTGTGAATCCCATTCAGTCAGTTCCAATCCAGATTTTGACAATGTCCATTTTGAACACGACTTGGAAGCAACAAAATAACATTGAGGCCGAGTCCACATGTTTGTTTGAAAACGGAGATTTTTTCTTCTTTTCAAAAAAAATCCACGTCCACACGTTGCGTTTTTTAATCGTTTTTGCCCGTGCACACGAAAACGCGGTCGTGACTAAAAATGGTCCCATCTTTGATGGGAGCATGCGCATTTACTGGTATTTTAGAGCCTGGCGTAATTTCGTTGTCATCCATTTACACGAGTGCAGCAAAACGTCGTTTTCAGAAATCTCCACTATGGAGAGAGCTTTTGAAAAGATGCTTTTTTGACAGTTTTCACGGGGCAATTGTGGACAGTACGCCAAACCACAGTTAAAAATGTCCGTTTTGAAACAGACAGATTCGTTTGGACGAGGCCTGAAAGCTAATAGTAAGTGATAAACCTACTTGTTACTTTATCATTAAAATTATTAACAAACCTTTGGGAGGCAAGTTTTCATAACCACGCATTGGAAGAACTGGTTCTGTGTTTCGACTCAGCAAAGGTGGTTTTGCTAGAAAAGAAAATCAACAATCCAAAGGGGTTTAATGATATGAGAGGATTGATCTGACTGGTTTCTACTTTGCCTTCTTGGACCTCATTTTTAAAATTTAAAAAAAAACTTTCACTAAAACTGATACTATCCATGGCAATTAAATTCTACATAGACTTAACCATGATTTTCTCATTAATTAATAATAGGATCAGGAACGAGTGGAGTCCAATTCGGTCAGTAATCACACTGTTATTACATGTAACATTACTATACATTGTATCCATCTATCTGTTATCTCATTGGCTAAAAGCCTTCAGTTAACTTCTTTATACATTGTACTCACTATCTGTCTTCTCATTGGTTAAGAGCCTACAGCAAAATTTGGAAATCAGCGCAACCTACAGATCAGTTAGTTATATACTAGCAGATAACTGACTAATCTGCAGGTTGTGCACGCAATGCATGTTTTCCAATAACAATATCAATTCACTCGACAGGTTCCTTGCGACAGTGTGTTTGTTATTATTTTCTTCAAAACACTGCATAATAAAACATTCTTAGATTTGTTTTTTGTGATATCCTAAATAATCAAGGTTTCAGTAGACCCGAAGGTCGAGGCTGATTACACTTACCTTGACCTTGATTATTCCGGATATCACAAAAATAATTATTGGATGAGGTTTTTGTGTTATTTAAAACAATTATTGTTTAAAAATCAGTGCAACCTACAGATTAGCTAATTATCTGCTAGTAGACTAATCTGAGATCAATTGAGGTTTCTGGGTAACTGATCACCTACCCCTCCCCAAAGTCACAATTTTGCCCTAAGTGAGAAGTAAGTGTTAATTTTGACTTAAGGGAGGGGTAGGTTGTCAGTTATTCAGAAATCTCAGCTCTCTGGGTTATTGGGGCATGAAAGCCACCACACAGCGGCAAGGAATAGATTATGGGGTGGAGAATTTTGTCATAGTTACTATTAAAATTATGCATAATTATATGGGACAAATGCCATTCCACACTTGACTTCACTTCACATGGTTCTCATGTACACAGTACTTGTTTATTACAATCATGTGTTTGAGCATACCTCTTGGCTTATCAGGAACATTTTCATATCCATGAGGGAGTTTCCTAGCTGATAATGAACAAATACCGGAACAATTATTGTTAATTGATAAAAATAAACTACAGTCAACTCCCGATAACTCAAACCTTCTAAAGAAATGGAAAATAGTTCGAGTTATCGGGAGTTCGAATCAAATAACCGGAAACAAATAAGCAAAAAGATGAGGAGGGAATGCAAGCTTATTATACAGATACTGATGAAATACCAGGATTTTTCCTTTTACTAAAAAATCATATCTTCATCGCATGCAATGAAGATTCTACTTTTATCTTTCACGTGTGAGGATATTGGTGTCGCCATGGTTACTAACATTAATTCAGAAAATCATAAGTATTATTGTCTTTATTTCTTCCTTATAACTTTATATCCGAGTTTCACGACATTTTTGTGACAGGCATTTTGCGATAGGTGACCACTTTAATTGCACTATTTTGCTGTTTCGAAAATTAATAAAAAAAAGTTGTGTTTTATGTAGGAATTTCGTCAGCATCTATAAAATAAACAGAACATTACATGGCCAATTGGGGATACAAATTTTATCTTCTCGTGCTGAAAGTATGTCTTTCAGCACTCGAAGATAAAATTCGCATCCCCGGGCTGCCATGTAATATCCTCTATTTGTTATATATTCCTAGACTTTCACTCAACTAAATAGGGACTGCCATTGGTTGATTCTTGGTCACGTAGCCTTGACTAAAATCAAATGTATCCCGATCGTGATACATTAAACAATGTATACCGCTCGGGATACATTGCAGCACGTGATCAAAGCATGGTGGAAAGTGGTGTGACAGAAGGCGGGAAAAACACTGCCAGGTCCTGCCAGTTTTCTTTTTCGTGAATGAACACAACAACACAAAAACGAAGCCTCAAGCTAAAAAGCAACGATTTTTAAAGTTATCCCAGAAGTTCCCAGAAGAAAAACAGCAGCTAGTGGAGGAAAAAGATGCAGATAATATGAGGAAAGTACTTTTGTTTGTAAATCATTCATTCAGTGGTTTTGAGAATTAAATTTGTGTTGTTATAAGTACCGAGTCGACTGTTTTGGTTCGCTCCGGTTATTCTTTTGTTGCTGTTGAAGTGAAAGTCTAGAAATATAACAAAACACTTAATGTCAGGTCCCTCGGGAAACCAGTTAGTTTTGTTTTCCCTCGAGTCCTGATGTTTCCCTCGACTTCGTCTCGGGAAACATCAGGACTCTTGGGAAAACAAAACTAACTGTTTCCCTCGGGATCTGACATTAAGTGTATAATCATGCACACTTCACAGGGATGGACACTGAATTTGAAATGGAGTGACAAAAAAAGTAACAACAAAGAATTGACACGGTTGTTTTGCAATAAATTCAGTGCTTTGGATTTCTGTACAGTGGTAAACCATTTTTTTTTCCCGACTTGTCATGCACTTAAAACATGGTTCGAGTTATCAGGGGTAAAATAATATAGAAATCATCTGAAGGAAAAAAAGTTAGCAGGAGGTTCGAGTTAGCAAGGGTTAAAGTTACTGAGGAAAAAATTACAGTGAGTGTATGAAGGAAATCCAGGGGAAATTGACTTTGGTTTAAGTTAGCGGGAGGTTCAAGTTAGTGAGGGTTCGAGTTATCGGGAGTCAATTGTATAGCCACAAAGTTTGAGCATTTTATTTCAAGTTAGCATTTTTAAAGAACTTATTTACTAATGTGACTCTTAAACCTGGCAATCTGAAAAGAGAATCAAGCTGTTGATCAGAAATCTCTTAATACCCCTGCAAGTTTACTGGCACTTGGATATATCAACATTCTTTTCTATTTTTTGTGTCGTAAATCCTGGCTGTAATAGCATTGGAATTTATAAACAACTCCAATTCCAATATTTCTGAAGTGTACAAGCCAAATAGTAGTATTATTGAAGGGGTGACTGGAAAAAATCCCCAAGCGACTTTCAGGTAGACCGATGGATTCTCTCAAAAGTATTGCCATGTATATCCTTATGAAAAGAGACACCATGTAGTTTTTACTTACGAGGCAAGCTTTCATTACTCTCAGCGAGTGGTTTGCCTTCACATCCAGGAACAGGAGGGCGGCCTAATGGAGACAAAGCCAAAATTTACATGGATTTTACAAGTTATGAGGATGCATTACTGTAAAAGGAGAATTCTATTAAGTGAAATAAATTATCAGAAAAATGGTGGGAATGTTTTTTTTTTAACTTTTTAATGAATGGGATACAGCAGATGGAGAAAACTTTTCATTTTGGGTACTATAGACTTGCACCAAGTCGACCAATTTTTAAATGTATCAGTGACATGGGGTCAAAATTTTGTCAGTAACTCTAACGTGAGTGAGTGAGCATAAGTGACCATTATGGGTGCCCCAAGTGAGTAATGCCATTAAACCCTGATTAAAAAAAACACCAACTGCCCAACTACAGTGTACATAGGACTTTCTGAAAGTCAATGGGAATGGTTATTTGAGATATTCCTTTGCCTAAACTGACTAGTCCAAAAGCAAGTGTCCTGTGTAAATCTCAGAACTAGTAATAATTGTAAATTAGGGCAGACTGTGCGTTTGGTGGGGAGACGCGGGTGGGGTGGTGGGTAGTGAGTGGTAGTGGGAAGGGTGTGCAGTCCAAAAGCAGGTATCCTGTGTAAATCTCAGAGCTGGTAATAACTGCAAATTAGGGGAGTGCATTGATGGGGGAGGCGGGGTGGGGTGGGGTGGTGGGTAGTGAGTGGTAGTGAGAAGGGGGTGCAGTCCAAAAGCAAGTATCCTGTGTAAATCTCAGAAATATAAACTACAGAAGATAAACAAGCAGAACAAGAATCAGTTGATGATAACAATGATAGAGGGTAAATGTGGGGCCTGCTCTTTAGAACTTAAAAGTACTCACTGTCAACTTGATCCACTATTATTTCGTAACTTTGTTGTGGATCTGGATGGCTACTGGTACTTGGGGAGGCAGTAGCTTGATCTGCAAGGTGACAATATTAGCCATAAATTATATATCCACAGGGTTTTAATAACCTTTGGTTTTCCCCTTTTTTTTCTCTTTAAGTCAGTATTTATGTATGTTGTGGTTCAAATTGTTCTTTGATTTACAGTCAAACTCAAACAACTAGGAAAACCAGATATATACAGTGGTGTATCTGAAATGTTACCAATCAGGCATGAGAATACTAATCTGTAAGCAGCTTCCTAGCAGTATAATATTAAGGTAAATGGAGAGAACAATGAGGAGAATTAATAATGTTGGTTGGTGTCAGGGCTGAACACTTCCAGTCCCAAGGCTGCATGATTTTATCAATATCAATAATTAACAATATCAATATTGATAATATTTTATCAATAATTAACAATAATTATCACTACATCCTGTAAATCATCAAGAAAAAATGGTTATGAGATCTTTAATGAAATGAATGGAGATCATTCTAGAGAATGTTTGTTTGTAGGCTCAAAAACTTTTATGGTATGAATACTGCTGATAACGCACGAAAAAATACAGATCATTAAATTGATGAAGAATTCACAGTTGCGACAATGATGTATTGAAACTTTTGTTTAACATACCTTCTGGTTCCTGGCAAACTACCGGTGTTAAGTGGATTTCTTTTTCCTGGCTCTTTGCAAAATATTTCATTAATGTTGCAAGATTTGGAAAAGTCTTATCCTGAAATAAAACAAGTTCATGATAGTTGAACTTTTAGCTCATTTTAATATGCACTTGTTTTTTCCTTTGAAAAGTAAAACTTAAAAATGAGTAAAACAAGGAGAGTGAGTAGAAAACTTGGGACCAGATCATGCATTTTACTTATCAGCGTTCTCCTTATCAGGCAGTAACTGGTAAAATTTAGCGCTTGAAGCAAAAACTTCTTACTGACTGCAACAGCTTGAAGTGTTACCAAAATTAAATAAGTTGTTTCGAAAAAATACACAAGTTGTGATCCAAGCCGATGCTCACAAGAAAAGGAAGTAAATACGAAAAAACAACAAGTATACACAGCTATTCTCTCTGATTACTTTATTTAAATGTTGAGTGGTGCCTTTAGAAGCACTGCAGGCTAACAATTTTTTCCTGGGCTTCTGTCCCTATTCTAAACTTTCTCAACCAACAGGAAAAGTTCGCAGCTTCTGCAACTTGTGTTACTAAATTGACCCTAGCGGCAAAGGCAGCCTTTATTCAAAAAAAGTTTTGAGGTGTTTAAAATACTTTTCGGTCAATTGGTTGACAGGATACTCAAAAATAGAAGCCATCATGAATGCGAAACCTCCCCCCCCCTCCCCTCTTGGCCTAACCAGTCAAGAATGGTCTCTTACCTGCTGAGCTAAAATTTAGGGAGAACACTACTTATGGGAATAACAATGGGTTTTATTGTCTGGTAAGTGCGTAAATAAGGTGATCCAAGTCTGAGTTTAGTACCAGGAAGCAAGATTACTACATTTACACTTATTTCATCTTTTTTTTCTCACAACTGTATGACTGTAGGGCTGTTGATATTAAATATTATTACTGTTTCTCCACTAACCTCATGTCCTTTAATTACAAGGTTTCCCTCTGGATATAAAGTTTCTATTTTATGGTGCCGACATCTATCATGATGCCTAGACCATCGGGAAGAAAGACCAGATTAAAAGTTAACATTGAAGTAAAAACCGCAGAGACAGCAAAAGAGTAAATTCATGGTAAGTTCCAAATTGCTATAATTAGGTTTAACATTCAGGTATAAAATAACATGAAATTAATTTTGCTTTAAGATGAGGACCAAGTTGTTCAAAGGCTGATTAGCGCTTAACCAGGGGTTAAATTTAACCCTGGTTTCCTTTTCTTGTGTTCAAAAGCATTTTCTCAGGATAATATTCTCTGTTATTTTAAGAGCTTCCAATCATCAACTTGTAGACAAAAAGAATTAAAACTGAAATGCTTTTAAAGCTTTCAAATCTGAATTCAAATCTCGCACTAACCCTGGGTTATCTTGACCCAGCTTTGAACAACTCGGCCCAGATGAATACCATAAACTGCCACTACTAAGCCCTGGACTTGAACCACTTTGTAGAAGGGTTTTAAGAGGGTTTATAAATGGAGGGGCTTACATCTAAGGGGGCTTATGACCGGGTGTCTTGAAAACAAAGACCCGGCCTTCAGACTCCCCAAGACTACCCACCGAATGACTCTGAATTTTATTGATTAGGGTTAGGCAACTGAGTGAATCAGGTTCCATTTAAGTCATTATACTGGGCAAACTGACCTGAAAGTAGCCTGGGAGTGGCAGACGTTTCTCCTCCCTCATCACTGCTGAGGGACGTTTTGTGAAGAGGGAACGTCTGCAACTCTGCGACAGAAATTCCATACTGATGACGTAAATCAATGTTTACTTCTAATAAATCCGGTAGTCATGGGGTTCCAAATGCAAATTTGCTCAATTTTACGTTTCTCCTGGTCGATTTTGGAAAAGTGTTGTGTTCATCTGCGAATGAGCCCCGGCAAAACTCAAATGCTTCTTCTAGAGAAGACTATATTCCACAAATATTGACTGTTTTGTTAGAGATTCATCACGTTTAAATTTGACCTTTGCCACCTTTTGTCTTTTGTCTGTCATTTGTAAACAACAGCTAACACAATGAACTACTCCGTGGACCAATTAGCTCTTCTGACTGGATTCCGGACAGATTTTGCGTCATCAGTATGGAATTTCTGTCGCTGAGTTGCAGACGTTCCTCCTCGCGAAACATCCCTCCGTGGCAATGAGCGAGGAGAAATGTCTGCCGTTCGCAGGCTAACCTGAAAGTTGATTAACTCAGTTTCCTAACCCTAATCTTAGGGGGTCTTATACCCACTTATGACCGAAATAGAAAAAGCACTTTGAAACAAGCAATAGCAGTGTAGATCAGAATACGCCTTGCATTTAATGGCTTTTAATTATTGAGCTTTAAAACGTCAGAATAAATCAAATTCATTTCGATACATATCTGAAGGGGGGCTTATATCGGGAGAGGGGGGGGGGGTATAATTGGATGTATTTTTTGTTTACAGGTAAACGCATGGGTTTATAACTTGGGGGGGCTTATAAGGGGCAGTTTATGGTATGGCAAAAATTAGGTGGTCTGAAAACGATAAGTTTAAAGCATACATGTGCAAATCAAATTAAAAAATGGCCACTTACTTGAGTGAGAGAGTATAAGCTCCAGGTTTATTTACAGTCTCACTGTCTCGCACCAGGAATCTTCCTGGTTGGCAGCTCTCAAGAATAGACTCAGCTTCAACTCTTGAAATTTTTCCAAAGTACCAGCTGCAAAAAGAGAGTCAGCAAGTGCAAAAGTTAACAGCTGGCATTTTTTGTAAATACCAGTAATACAGTGTAGCTTATAACCTATCACTTGGATTTCAAACTGTTTTTGGAAGCTCTCCATACAATGCTAGCATCTCAATGATTCCATACCTTTACTTCTACGACTGCATTAATTTTTGGATTTTTTATCAGTGAAAGTTCTAGGTATAGAAATTATTAGATGCAGAGGATCAAGTATTCATTAGTATTGATGAACAATAAAAAGGAACTGGGTGCCAAACTGATTCATAATAAAAACAATTTCAAAGTATTTTAGCATCAATATACAAAAGTATTGTTTGGTTCAAATTTTTCCTTTGTTTTAATTTTACTTTTCTTTGTTTTTTTGGTATGATACAATGATAATAATTCTAAAATACATTTAATTGTAGCACAAAAAAATCTTTGGGAGAGATACAATGTACATTCAAATTAAATACATTGTACATAGTGAAATGGATAATGTACACAAGAATGTGGAGTAGACTTTTAAGTCTACTAAAATTACTGCTACAGTCATAGCTATGTTACAGGTCAAAATTATATTCAGGTTAAAAACTTTTAACCTAGGTTAATTCTCAATTTCCTTAGTCTCCTAGCCCCAGTTATTCAGTTCTTCAATAGAAAATCAACCTTGGTTAAAAAAATTTTAACCTGAATTTAATTTTGTCCTTTAACAGCTACATCAACTTACGGAGGTTTGTTGCCTGGAACAATGTCATAAAAAGCTTCTTCTTTGGCTGCTTCTGCACCTTCTGTTACAGGTTCGCGACTCAAATCCTGACAACAAAAGTTATAAAATTAATGGTTTACTAGGGATTACATGCATGGTAGCTAATTAAATAAATGGATTATACTAATATATTATTATTGTTAAATATTATTAATTTGAGAATTCAAGCTATAACTCCAAATACTAGAAAGAGTGTTCCAGCTTATGTCAAACACCTCAACATAAGGTTAATATCAATGTATAATAGTGAAATGGTCGTCAGTTATTAGACATTAGTCATTAGAATAAGAAAGGACGTAATGAGATTATACTAAGGGTTAGTCTGCTACACAGCCGTTCTTTATGTCATCATGCAGGAGTGTTTTGTGACACCAAAAAGAACAGCTATGTAGCAGATTAAGTAAGGGTTTGACACAAGCAATGTGGCCACCACATCTTAGAGCTTCATACCCAGACAGATGGAGTAAGATTGGCAAACTACGCGTAAAGAAAACAGAGCATGAATTATGTGTTGCAATGCAAAGGTATATTTCACTACACCACTGTCAGTTGCACAAGACTGCCAAACAGAAGTCACCAAATTGCTGGCTTTCACTGCAATTTTTGAGGCAAAAAATTTGTTGGCAGCCAAAATGGTCACAGCTTAGTGTGCTGTACAGTGGTGTGGTATTTTCTGTTCCTGTATAAGCAGTGTTTATCATCAAAATATTCTTTATCCCTTTAGTAGCTGCATACAAGTGTCATTCCAGTGAGCCTGCCATGACCGGTTGTGGACACTTTCCCTGCTTCACAAGGGTGAAGTGGGACCTTTGATATTTCTTAGTTACACTCCTTTAACCCTTTAAGCCCTAAGAGTGATAAGCATCAAATTCTTCTTTGTGATATCAATGCTGTGTACAGCGGAGTACTCATGAGAATTAAGGAGATAATCACACAAGATAAATTTGCTTGATTTTTTATCACCATCTCCCTACTACTTGTATAGGCAATGGATTTGGGCAACAAATGAGAATTTAAATTATGACCGGAGGGTTACAGTCAACTCTCTTTACAACGGACACTATACGCAATGGGTTTGGGCAACAAATGAGATATAAATTTTGACCGGAGGGTCAAGTCTCTTTATAACGGACACTGACGGGACCCGATTGGTGAGAGTTCATATTAGCGGAAGTTTATATTTCAGTCAAGTGGTTGCAAATTTTTTGCCTGGGATTTAGCTGCTGTTAGTATTATGTATTGGGTGTCTGTTATAGCAGGGTGTTTGTAAGGCGAGAGTTGACTGTAAAGGATAAGCACACTTTCAGTGTCTGGACAGCAAAGGAAACACTCCCCCATTTGTTTGAAAACCTGCTAGCACAGAATCTCTCTTACCGCAGCATTAAAGCTCTTACTCAAGCCATCAGATTTCTTGCGACCCAAGAGCTTTTTACAATGGCTGCTAAATGAATTGTGTTTCTTCAAAAGTGACTTTGCCATTTCCTCCTCTGTCACACCAACTACAGGTATGTTAAACTCGGGAACTGCAAAATAAAGGTGACCATTAATATAATGTCTAAGTACTCAGCCAAGTCTTAATGTGTTAAGGGGCAGGTTTTCTCCCTATTTTCTTTCATTTTTCCCCTTCTCTGTGGATCTCCTTAAGGGGGAGGGGTGGGATTGAGCAACTCTCCTAGATCTGTCAATGCTAACATTGATTACAGCCTTTTTAACCAAGCATGCAAGGAAATATAGTGTGAGACCACTTAAACTGCCATGTGCTCTGCATAATATTTTATCTGCTCACTTGGAAACTTGGAAATTTGATAATTTTAAGGAAGAATTCCAAGAGAATATTACAACTAGATTTAATTACTGAAGGCAAGGAATTTAGACATAACAGTAAAATTTACATTAATAAATAAACCAAATTCCTGCTCATATACGTCTGGAAAAAGAAACAGAAGAAAAGCTAACCTTCAGTGTACTGGTTCTCGGTTGGACTTCTTGATGTAGGTGAGGTCTTTGATTCACCACTGTCTAGACTACTGACAATCAATGGTGGAGGGGGTTTTCCCTGCAATCAAAACAATACACTTATTGAAAAAAAGGCAACCCATAGCAACCAGGGAATTGATGACAACTAGTTAACCTGACAACTACCATATGTATGCAAGACATTCTTCTGCTGTTTATACGGAATACATGTAACTCACTTTCTGCCTCTCCACACAGGTCAAGTTTGGGATAATATCACTTATTATTCATTCAAACTATTTCTCCATTTCTGATTCGCTAAAATCCAAAACATACTATTCATCATAACCAGTTACTGTTGGGCCAAATTTGGAAGAATTTTGCAATATGTGAACTGATGAAGTCAATCGTGCAGCAAAATTGCCAGATTATTGAACAGTAAATAAATAAATGTTAACCAAGATACAAAATGGCAGAACATTTTATAATACTCCTTTCACAAGTAAGAAATAGGCGAACGATTGGCGAAAAAGTTAAATATAGCAAGAAAAGCAAGAAGACAACTCAATGGACAACATCTGCTATTAGAAGAATACTTGCAGAACTAAACAACCCTTCATCTCCTAAACTTGCTGATAAACATGTACTATCAAAAATGAACTTAACATCGATGGAGGTAAGCATGTTTTAGTTTGATTTTAAACTAGGAATTATTTTGAACAAAAAATAAAACAATTATTGGATTCCGTTTTCGTAGCATCTAAAGTATTATGAAGATCTTGGAGGGTGTTATCTGCCGAGGCCATAAAGATGCCGAGGCGGATGACACCCTTCAAGAACTCCATAATTCTTCAGATGATCAAAAACCGAATTCAATAATTGCTTAATATCAGGAAGAAAAATCTTTAAGCTCCAGTTGATTACTTGTAAATCCTTACCCAGTGAATGTATACAATGAATGTAATTTTCAAGGTTGGGCTCTCGATCTACAGGTGTAGCAGTGCCGGGTGACCCCTGGCACCTTAATTTTGCTATTGGGTGGGAACTATGATATCTCAGCTTTCTAATAGAAGTACTACACTGGGCAACCTGGAATTCAGAGGTTCAGAGCCCTGGGTTCCCTTCAATTTTTCGCAGAGCACAGCCTTAATTTTTGGATGGCAAGCCTCTGAGACAAATGATAAATAAAATAAATAAATAAATAAATACAATGTAAATAATAATTTAGAGGTATCTACACAGTGGTTCTTTGTCTACCTGATTCCTGGTCAAATTGGAATTTGGAAATGTTGCTTTTTGAGGGGAGGGAAACACCACCTGGGGTACCCCTCAGAGCAAAGGAGAGAAACCAACCACAAACTCTACCCACATATGCTGTTGACGGCAGGATTGGAACCCAGGCCTCATTGGTGGGAGGCAAGTACCGGAGTACTGAACCATCCCTTGCTCTCCAAATAGGGCATTACCGGTAGTTTTACTATTACAGATAAATACTGTCAGCATAATGTTTAATTTCAAGTCATCCAAAACAACTTGACAGACTTAAAAACAAAATCATTACCTGAGCGGCAAGATGAAGTGTATGTACCCACTGAAGACGGGTGCGGTCCGTATTTGTCTGCAAAGCAACAAAGACATTATAATTAGCACAAGAAATTATCAAAAAGTGTATTTAGAGCCATCTGCCGTGACTCTTTCAAATGATATTTTTTGCTTCACTTAAGTGAAAAGTTTTTGCAAATTTAGCATTTTCACATGATGTCATAGAGGCCATATTGGTGCTCCAATAAAATGAAATGGTGGCCATGTTAGTGTTCCAAACAAATCCTGTGGGAGATGAACTCTCTTCTTACATAAATGCTATTTTTTTTGTTCCAATAGATGCTGGCCACATGAATGAAAATGCTCTATAACAACCATTGTGATGAAACTGGCAAAAAGGCCAAGGGCAGGGTAATGTAGCCTGGTGTCCTGTGGATGCCCAGATTTTTAGGAAAAAAATTAGAGTTAAGGTGTACGTGGACACCCACTTAAAAATTCCTGGCTCAAATTATCGCGTTTGTCAGAACGCATCATTATATGGTGTTCCTGCGGCACAAAGGCAGAAATTTTTGAGCTATCACTGGCGACTGCAAATCAGCTGCCCCTATTAATTCCATCAGGGGATCACCTCCAGGAAACTGGACTCCTTTTGACTTGATTTTGTTTCCATAAGTGACGAACGCGGATGCATAATCAGTGACTACCTCTAGTATGTTATATTCAAAACTCTAACTACAGGGAGGTAAACCATATTGATAACATTGAACTTGGGATTCTCAAGAAACAAATTTTGAATAGGACTTGATCGAGGGGGCCAGTGCATTACAAGTAAAACAGGCTAGCCATTCTTTGGTCAGTCTGTTTCCCCAAACTTACCATAACTAATATACATGCCTTGAAAGATTAGCTCCCTAAGTGTTGCACCTTAATGTGATGGGGAGGTTTGTGCACCTTGATGACACTGGAAGCTAAACCAAATGGGACCTTGGTCGCTGGTGGGTTCAACTGTGCTGGGCAGGCTTTGACAGAAGAATAATATTGCAATGCCTGGCCCTCCAGGTTGGGTGTTGTCCCGTGACATAATGTTCCATCTCCGTAGAAAAAATATCATTTCTGAAACCAGACACTCTTTTTTAAGATAGCAGGTTGGGAATTGTGGAGGCCTTATGCATAACAGAGTGCGAAGAGGTGAGGCAGGTAGGGGAAGCTGGAGGGGTTTTGAAAATCTCTAAAGAATGCCTTACCCTAAATAAATATTTCTTGCCACGTTCTGCCTTTACTTCAAACTCAAACTTGTCTTTTGCCTTGCGTTTACCATCCACAACACTGGATTTTGGCCCGAGGTCTATATGACCTTTAACCTAAAAATAGGGAAAACCATTTATGTAAAATCAGAGGTATATTATTTGTTAAACATTTTGAAATTAAGTTATGTCTATATTAATATTATTTTTCAGTATCACAGGAGAAAAAAATGGTTTTCACATTCAAAGCAAAGAGGTGTTACACTGGAGATGAGTGTTGTGCAGAAATTGTAATTTTAAATTTGATACAGTGGAACCTCCACTAACAGCCAGCTCTGCGCAACAACTACCTCTCTATAATGGCCACTTGTTTGTCCTAGCAGACAAATAATTCATTCATTGACTTTTGTTTAAAACCTCTTTACAACAGCCACCTCTTTATAACCTCCACTTTCTTCTGTCCCTAAAGGTGGCCATTGTACATGTAGAGGTAATTTAACATTAACTTTGTTGTGGCTTTTTGTCACCCCCAAGGAAAAAGTGCTCATTGTCATCATAACATACATGTTGGTGTCAAACAAAAGCAATGGTTTGTCCTCATTAATTTTGTGTTAAATTTATAGTCATAGATACAATATAGTTAATCAAATTTTTATAGACATTTGCGATAAATGGTAAAAATCCAGAATGAAATTTGCCACAAAGAAGGATCCAGTGTGCTAAAAATTGGCCTCATGAAGATGTTAAAAGTCATGAATTAGCTGAACAAAGTACAAGAAAAATTACAAGAAAATTTAATTACAGTTTAATTACTGTCTTACATTTTCTGTAATATGAGTGTCCGCATTGGCAAAGAAAACCAGCCGAGATCCACGAATCACAACCCAATAAGTCACCCACTAAAAAGAAAAATAGATATATTCAGGGTTAGGTTTGTCAAAATAGTCTTAGAGTAATCTCTACATCACTACAATGCCTGGACTGCAGCCCACCGCTAGGTTGTCAGATAATGGCTGAAACACAAGATTATTAAACAAATTATACAGAGAGATGCCAAAAGGAGATTAAACTTAGTCTTTGCCAATGGATAGACACCATGGTAATAAGCCTTTACTGCACATGAGGCAAATATAAACCAAAGGTGAGATGCATAACATTCTTGGTGTTAAAATTGTTTTTAACTTAAAAATTATTCAGACTTTTAAAAACGGACAAAAAGATAAGAAACAAGATAATCTACTGGGTCTGCTATGTGTTACTTAATTATTAAGTAGAACAAACTTCACAGCACTTAATAATTTGGACTTGAGCTTTTAAGATCAGGAGTTGGACAACTTAAAAGAGAAATGCCTACATGTATGTACAGCCTGTAAAGCTTGGTTGAAGATGTTTCTACAATACGTAAATGAGCCCTTAACTGCAGATGTTGCAGCATACATTTCCATTAGTTGTTTTTTTTTTCAAATATGTGTATGAGATATACAACATTCTCAAGATTACAATAATAAAATAAAGTTAATTATACACTATACGTAATTTTAAAAGGTTGCCTTGGCACGCAATTATCATTGGTCATTGGAAATTGGGCATTGTATATTTGGGCATAAGGAACTCACTGCAAGGTTTGTTTTACACAAATTTCTGTAGACTATAAGTGACCATACAGATGATTCATGCAGGACTCATACTTCTGCCTATGGTGGCCCACAACTGTCATGGCAAAAACCAAAAACCTCACATGAAAACCAAAAACCTCATGGCAAAAACAAACTACCTCACGACAAAACCAAAAACCTCACGGTAAAACCAAACACCTCACAGCTAAACCAAATACTTTACAGCAAAAACCAAATACCTCATGGCAAAAGCAAATACCCATGGCAAAACTAAAGCTATTTAGCTATTTTGTTTTTGCCATGAGGTTTTTGGTTTTGCCCTGACAGTTGTGGGCCACCATATCTGCCACTCATCAAAGCCAAAACAGAAAGCAAGTGTTTGAAGATACCGGTAACAAAATTTGCTCAGTTGGGTCCAAAACTGCAGCTCATTGGAAATTAACATTAGTTGTGTCTCTACTGTGAAAAATAAACCTTAGCCAAAAGGGGATTCTCTTATCTCTAACAGATAAATGAAACAGAGCATAGTTCACAGGTTTCCAATAACAAAACAGCTGTAATTAGACACAAATTAAATAAAAGCTGTAGCTGATCTGATAAGAGGTGCTAAGAGCCAACAACCAAGATTCATGATAGTAATTAATGAGAGCTAGGCCACATGTCCTGCAGGGTGGTATTATAATGTTCATCATGTGTGTAACAAAACAGAACAAACCTGTGTGTACTTTTATACTTATCGTCCATTGTTTGAATATGTGCTGATCAATTGCTATCATTAGCCATTAACAATGCAAACTTAGGCCTTAACTATTGACTGTTTTATTTCCACAGTCAATTATTTAAATAAGTGATGCGAAACTTTTGATTCTGTGGACTAATTTATCTTGTTATGTGATATGACCACTGAGATGAAACCTTTTTGAACAGGAATACTTTTGCATTGCAGCATTTACAATAAAATAATATAATTGTTTTTCTGTACTTTACACAGGATCAAGGCCTTAGCAGCTTTGGCAAAAGTAAGGTAAGTATTTTACACAAAGAATAAGTTTCAAATTTTTATTCTGGCCACTACACGTTTATTAAGTCTGAAAGGAGTAAACCAAACCTTGCTAGTGTAGCAACTGTCTCATAAAGATATTAAACAAATTGTTATTGGTTGAGGTTGTTGTGATATCCAGAATAATAAAGGTAAGAAGTAAGTAAGCTCAGGCTGACGCTTATCAATACCTGAATATTCTGGATGTCACAAAAACCAACTCTAATAACTTAATAAATTTATTCTTGTTTTATTATGCAAATTTTTGAAGAAAATAAGGACAAAAAAACCGTCAACCTACAGATTAGTCAGTTATCTGTCGGCAGATAACTAACGAATCTGTAGGTTACACTGATTTCCAAAATTAACTGTTAGCTGATTGCCAATGAGAAGACAGTGAGTGAGTACAATATATACTAATATAAAGACAGTGGCTGAGTCACTATCTGATAAATAAACAGTGCTGTTGGCATAGAAGGCAAGCAATAATTTTTGAGAAACAAATATGTACATAACATCCGTTCTTTCAGCCATGGGTGTCACTAGCATCTCCAGGTGAGGCTAATACCAAGGCTGACAACACTTACCGAGGCCTTGATTATTATTCACAAAAAGCGAATCTAATTAAATGTTTTATTATACACTGTTTTGAAGAAAATAATGACAAACACACCATCGCAATGAACTGATTGACATTGTTCTTGGAAATAATTCACCCAAACAGATTAGTTAGTTATCTACAAATCTGTAGGTTGCGCTGATTTCAAAAATGAACTGTAGGCTCTAATATAAGTTAGCTGCAATGTATAAAAATATGGCTTAAGAGATCTAATCAGGTGCCAAATCCAGGAACCTGCCTGATTTTTTTAATAAATGAAAGCAACACGATCAATGTGACTGATCAAATGAAAATCTGATTCATTGTATTATTTCTTGGCGTTATCTTGTGATTCTGACAGTCTACTGTTTTTTCTTTAAAAGCTCAGATTCATGCACGCTATTAATATTAAAGCAGAACGTCTAGAGAAAAGGACTTCAGGCTCTAATTCTTGCATCTTATACTCGGCCTGAGGAGTGCCTTGGCGACTGAATATTATCCTCGTTTATTTTGGTTCCTAGTGGAAGCCAGCTTAAAAAAAGTTAAATGGAATGAAATGACCCAAAACAAAACAAAACAAAACAAAAAGGGAGAAGCAGAATGGAGCTTCCTTAGGTCAGCAACTATCTCAATTATCTGTCCTATATCTTGCATGTAAATTACAGCATTCCTCTAGCCTTCTGTTGAGTTGAGAATTCTTATTATTTTAAAATTTTTCCTTGATCAAAGTATTTTGAGTGAATATGGTAAATTGGAAAATTTTAGATCGCCGGATTCTGCCTTCTTTCTAGGAGGTAATCACTTTTTGTCTTAAAAAAAAAAACACGTACTTGAAATGCAGAGTTCACAAAATGTTTTGAATGCAGTGCAAAGAACCGAAGTGTGCTCAATTGTTTTGTAATCATCAATTTCATAAACTTTAAATAAACTTTGCTGTCTCGATTTTAGGTTTTTGATATTATTAGCTTGATATCTTAATGTAAACACAGCAAATCGTTGAATTACTCACAAATTATCTTTCTGAAGTCAAATGTCGTCGAAGCGTAATAAGTTAAGTGCACAAACGTGACAAACGCACACCCCTTCTTATCTTTGTTGACTGTCCTGCTAATTGCATTGAAATCATTATTTTAAAGGAATTTAGTTCCAAAAGGAAGATAATTTAGCCGTAGCTTCTAAGGTTACTTCAGCATTAGGATAATGGTTTGCAATTCGATGCGGTACACTTAGAGAAAACTAATGATATTAAACTTCCACTAAAAATCAACGGAAGGTCGGCGATGCAGCTGATCGCGCTACCTCGCTCAGTGCCAAATATAAAAAAGAGCAGCTTTTATCGACAACCAATAACGATGGTTTTTATTTAAGACCAATAAAAAATCAAATGCTCGCCAGAAATTTCGCCTAAAACCTGAAGTCGAGTCGTGTTGCTGTATAGATTGCCTTCATCCGAATGAGAGGAAGTGGTCGTGAACGATATTTGGACGACGAAACACGCGAAATTCATCGCACTTCTAATGCATCCTACAAGGGTACGAATTAACCTTATTTGTGATTACCTCATGCGAAAACGGGAAAAATGAATTTTGACGCATTTGGTATATTGCATTCAATGAAGAAACTCTCTGCATAACCGAAATTCATTACCAGCTAAGACGCGCGGTAATCCACAATTGAAGTGAAGTTCACGTCGGTATGCCCGCACAATCTGAACACAGCAAATTGATAAATCACGTTCTCTTACCTCGCTTAAGTCTTTTGTACTTAGTGAACGATTCCCACGTAAATTTTGATGTTTACGACGATATTTACTCAGCACAAATATACTCGTGCTGATGACCTACAACTTAATTTGCGTCGCTCGCTCTTTTCTTCCGCTAAAACCCTGTCTACGATGTCACATTTGCGGGGGAGGATGTGAGGACCAATGACGTAATAATAAATTGAGTTCGCCCTTTTTTGCATCGGATTTTTTGGTTCACTGAACAAATGGCGTAACTTTTGTCACATTTTCTTCTTTCAGTCCAAATTCTGTCTTTGTTCCTAAGTTGCCTTTCAAAGCTAGGCATCCATAACTACGTTCGCCTATTTTCGCATCTGAGCCGACAATCAAACATATAAAATTACATATGCAAAATAGTTCTAATACATCGATCTGTGACCGCAAAAATAAATGTTCGAGGGTGCAGAGAGGTCAATATAAAATGAAATTCAAATAGTCAGGTATATGTACTCTTTTTCGTATCATCAGCTGAAGTTCCTGAAAAGAAACATGATTTTTGGAAAAAATATATATTTATAAATCTTAATAGATAGTCACGTCATTTGGCACGGCTTAGCACCTGAAACAACCTGACACATGGAGCTCAGCTTTGCGGTATTAGCTAGATACCCTAAAATATGCCAAAGCTGCGACCTCAAACGATCAGATTCACTTCTCCGTCGTCGGAACGAGGTATATCGTGCACTTCGAACTGAAACGTGTTTGTGGTAAAATAGTAAAAATAAAATAAAGCCAATAGTTCCGAGGTTCTGGCAAAAAGTTATCGCGGGTTTATTTCACAAGAAGGAGCGCTGTCGGATACGTTACAGCGCCAAATGACTGGCGTGTTTCCTGAAGTGTTGTTCGATTCAAGCTGGCGAGAATTTCCTGTCTTGTCCTCATAAAATAACATGTCAGTTTAAATGAAATTCGCAAAGACCTTATGGAAAAAATACTACAAGCCTTTACCAACTCTCGTTAACATCGAAGCAAATGACTCTATTTATAAACCGGCTACAATAATAAGTTGAAACTTGCGTTGTAATCATTGGCTGCTCTTCAAATCAAACACACTTGTTTAAATGCCCGCGCAGTATCGGAGTTCACTAACTAAAATATTAACTGTTTACTGACTCTTGTATGCAACAAAGTAACGAGCTGTTTTGCGTTCAGATCTGAGAAACAGTCAAGTATCAAAAATAGAAAGCAATTTATAATTCAGTGCTTGCCTCTCCGATACTTTTCACAGGTTTACATAATTACAAATCTGTGTAGAAGGTGTGAATTTAGTTCTTGCATCGGCCTCTCACCTTTGAAGACTCTTTAAAATCCAGGTAACCTTCCATGTATTTTGCACCCCTTCGACGTTATGTTGAAAACAAAAACATGCAGGATCACTGCTACAAGATTCCCCCGACGATCGGCGGCTATAGTTGATCTAGTCAGCGTGACAAATCGTTCATCTGTGGGAATTTCGAGACGCTTTTGTAATTCAACCGCATAAATTGAATTCTAGACTTCGCTGTGCCTCAAATACCAATGAAAACTTATTGCATCCTGATTAGCTGTAGTTAAGTATATTTTCCCTTTACATCTCTTGAACCACTACACACCGTGAAGCTGTACATGGAATAACAAACAGGAAGTCGTTCCGAAAGTAATCCCGACCCATCAATCCTCCGCTGTGGCTCAGGATAATTCCGGCGCAGTGGACCAATGGGCATTTACTACGACAAAACCCCCGGCATACATGCAAGATAAAAAAAAAAAATTATTCTCTCCTTGTAGACCTGGACCTAAAACATAAATCTGAGGGCTTTGAAAACTGAATTGTCTCTTAGGAAAGAGACGTCATTCAACCCTCCAAACCTAGCCCTGCCCTGACATCGATGGACGTCATTTCCTTTAGCTCAGCAGGACTGGAGAGAGCGAAATGGCCGAGAGGGAGACCGTTTTTTTTTTCGCTCCCTTCACTTGATTTCCTTGCTCGCGTAACCATTCTGAGGGACTGCTCGCAGTCTATAAATAGATTTTCCATGCCAAAGGCACATTAAGTCAGCTCACGCTGATCCTGAGGGCGGGTGACTTGTGTGTCTTATATATTTCAGGAGCCGCGGCTCCTGATATTTCAAGGGGGGGGGGTGGGTGTTATCCGTAATTGTAGGGGGTAGTGTGGTAGTGTGCTACTGAGACCTTGAGACCACTTTCAAACACATTTGTGTAACCTAAACTGGTGGTTATTGTCATAACTTTTCCCGGAATACATTGTTTTGACTTTTATCATTTAGTGTGACCACCACGAAAACGTTATTCGCTTGCCGTCGCTTTGTTAGGAGCGTGGTCGACAAACTACAGACGCAAACCACTTCCGTGTGCAAACAGGCCTCACGTCCGCATAGGGTCGAACGCGGAAGAATTGTTAGTTGGATCATCAAAACGTTACTGCCTCAAAAAACCCTCTTATAATGGTTTAAACAGTTGTCGAGTCAACAAACCGAGAACAATTTTCTAAGGTATATACGCTTATCAACGGTAGAAATAACCTCAAAATGTTCAAAACTCAAGTGGAACCAAGAGCTGCTGTTGTGGATTGGTTTTTATAAATAACATCAATTGACAGTTTTTAACATAACTTCCGCTCAAGTTTTCTCGGAAAATCGCGCGAAAAAATCGTGCCACCATCGCGTCATTTCCGCCCATAGTCTATAGTACTCTCATCGACCACAGCTTTCGACCAATCAGCGCACGAGAAGTAGCTCACGTTATTAGATAAAATTAATGATGATCTTCCTTCATATGAAAATTAAATACCTTCGAAAGACCACTGCATTGCAAACTGTGCTAGCAAGCTCCTCTTATCTCCTAAACACCCTGGTTACGAATGCCTAAACAATATTTAATCAATCATGCAGTAATGCTTTTTGATGTCTATTTTTAAGACTAAATTTACCTATTTCGATCGGAATGAGTTTCTGTGCGAGTGTACGTAAAGAAAACTTGTTCGGTAGTTTCTTGTCGGTTCTTTCCTGGCACAGTGGACGGGTGCAATCACCAAATGGCACAATTCAAAAAACCCGAAAAAAACCCCCTGAACAATATAACCCAACCACAACACAATAGCTAACCGACAATGGTTTCCGGAAAACCAAGAAACACCGTCTTTGATCGTACTCCGTTTTTTTGGAAGCCTGCTGAATTTGGGAGGATCGTTGCTATAATTATATAAAAATATAATTATACACCAAAGATATATATTTCATATAATTATATTTTATATATCAAAGGCCTTTTTTTGGTTGAGTAGATAGTAGATGTGTACACAGTACGTCGGAGCCGTGAACGATTATTTTGTTACTCAGTGGTATTGATCGTGAAAGACCACTACCCATAGTATAAAATATACGGATCAGTTTAAGATTCTGGGAAACTTCCTACCTACCCCTCCCTGGCTCTCCTAACATTTCTCCCTGGCCTACTGGCGAGTTGCGAAATTTCCCAGAAGCTTATGTCCCCAAATATAAAAACATGATCAGTTTCAGATGCCCCAGACACATCACTGAACCAATAAGAGCTCGAAACATGACATATGAAGGCCATTAAAAAAGCGTGAGAAATGTCAGAAATGGTGATAGATGAGGAAGTAGCGAGAAATGACTTTGTTTCATCAGCCGCAGAGAGTTTGGGATAGCCCCCGCCCCCACTTTTAAAGATGTTCAGAATAATTTCTTTTTTACTTTTATCAGGTTGATAATTTGCAAAGATTCTTCAGTAAATTAAATACATGCATGGCTTTTATCTCTTTCAACGTTTACGAAGTCGTTCTAGTCACTTGTCAGTTGCGTTGTTGGTTTGTTGCCGGTTTTAAGGGACGCAAACGACTTCGTTAACGCTAAAAGTCATGCAAGAGAGGCCCGTTTCAAACGTCGTGCTACTGCCGTGCCGAACTAAATTGATCGAATTTAATTCGACTTTAGCACGGCAGTAGCACGACGTTTGAAACCAAGTCGTGCTACTACTGTGGCGAACTCAATACATAAATTATAAATACACTAGAATATGTTTAAAAGTTTGCTAAACCGTTTCTTTATTTTTGTGTTTTGTTAAGCCGTTGTCGGCAAGATAAGCTGGCTTAATTTAAGCTGCAGACTTTGGTTCAGCACGATCACAGCACGACGTCAGCTCGATGTCAGCTCGGTCGAATCGTGCCGAGTAGCACGACGTTTGAAACAGGCCAGAGAAACCTCTACCCGCAAGGTAAAGCTCATGTAGACCACTTTGTAAACTTTGAAGAACCTAGCTTTCTTGGCGTTTTATTCCTTTTGAGAGGTTTTCTCCACATTATACATACGCATCAAATTCCGTCGATGAATTTCATTGTAACGTAGTCTCTGGCTCCGTTCTTCAAAAAGGGATTTCTGTGTTAGCAGAACCTATCCGGCTCAAAGGACCATCTGAATTATTACATGAGCTTGCCAAACCTAGAATCAGTGAGAAAATATCATTGTTCTTTGTCCATTTCCGTGAGTAGACCCACATCTGAACTACGCGTAAAAACGATTTATCCCTAATCCCGTAATAGACCGGTCATAGTACTTCATAAAGCAATAGTAAAGCCAAAACAAAAATGGTGTCACACAACTTCAGAAAACCATTGACCCACCGTAGGAGCAAGTTTATAAGCAGGGTTGCTAAGATAATTGGGAGCTTAAGCAGCAACGACGGCGGCGGCTACGACTCTGACGTCACTTAAAAAGTCAGGTTGCGCTGCTTCAAACTTTGTCGCGCTTATTCCCTCGCGTTCAATTTGCCAAATGTTGGCAGTTTTTTCTGGAGTTGAATTATAAAAGACTGTATCGAAGTGCAGGAAAAGAAAAAAAAAAGGCGTTGTCTTGTGTTCTCGTCCTCCACAAAACGTGAAATAGGCATTTCCACGTCGTAGTCGTGCAGTGATGGTAAAGAAATTTAGAAAAAAGCGTGATAAACGTGCAAAGTTGTTGTTTTGTAGGTACACCCTCCTTATTTGAATTTTTTAGACTGAAACAAATTTATCTTTATTGTAAAACCATTATGACACATGTATTACACATGGACTAAACTTAATTATGATTTTATTTTTTTGGCGATCGGAATATATATCACCTGACAATGACATCACAATGGTTTTAGCTCTAAATCGAATTGCAGCCCTTATCGGCATTTTCTTTATAAATGCTTGACGCTACTTATACTTTGTGTATACTTCTGTTACGCAACAACGATTTTCACTCGTGAGCTTGGGGAGCTGTGCTACATCAAGAAAAACAGGCCAAGACTAACTTCAAGTGAACCAAGTCAATGGCTATGACGTTATAGCGTTGCATGCATGTGTTTTAATAAAAAAATTCCTCTTCGAAGGACTAGACTATCATTACCATACAAAAACGTAATTAGTTCTCATAACTTATGACTAACGTCCTAAGTGGGCAATAGAAATAAATTAAGATATATACCCAAGCTCCAGTTTGCTAAAATCTTTTGTTTTCATTTATTGCTTGAAAGCGAGGAAAGAATTCCTTGGCTTCAGGGTTTAAATCATCCTGATACTTTTGGTGTCCGGCGACGCTGAAATATAAAAAAGACAACAGGCAATATTTATGGTTACCGCCACGTTCTAGTTTGCCTAGAGTCCTATTTCGTTTTAAGGCAAAGTAATAAACAAGCTAATACTCAATACAAAAGCTATTACATTTGCTTGTATTGGTTCGTCGTAATTTAAATGTTCAGAGGCACGTGTAAAAAGAGAAGAGGGTATAAAATTAAACCCTGTAGGACTCCTCTGTGCACGTCTACGCTTGCGAGGCTGCAAAGCACACAGAGAGAGTGAACAGACTTGTGTAGGACCTGGACGAGTTTGTTGCAGTTGAGCATACATACTGGTACAAAAAGACGGGAGAACATACAGACAGACCAGATAAGTTTTACGATACCTTCAAACCTTTCATTCAGCAGCAAAGGCAAGGGATCAACATTACTACATCAGTAAAAACTAAGGAAAACAATGTCGAAAAGAATCAAAATGAAGCGGCAGAAACGCTAGCCAGCTACTTTAAAAATGCTGCTTTAAATATTGGAGGAGGTCACGTCAGCCGTCTGACTGAGGACCACCATAGTGAGCATGACAGTGTAAAAAGCATACGAGAGGTTTACGAAGAAAACGATTTTGATTTTAAATTACTCACGCCAAATGATATACAACGGGCCGGCCACTTGAAAACATCAATTTAAAGAAATCTAGTGGTTGGCATTCCGTGATCTCAATGAAGCTTCTTAAGAGAGTGGCTAAGGGAACGGCAATATCGCTAACCAA